CTATTCCACAGCACCAGTCCCTCAAATAAATAAATCTTTAAAAAAGAAGACAATACAACATCTAGATACTCATTTTAACCTTATATACCTAAATCCTAAACCTATTTTTCCAGTGGTTAGATATTTATTTCACAATTGTGCTGATATCTTTTATTTATTTTTTTTACTTTTTTTTGTTGCTGATATTTTTTAAAAAAGATTTATTTAACTCACTGTGCCAGAATACCAGCCCCTCTTTATTTTTTTCCCCAAGACTTATTTATTTATTTTTTATTTGAAAGGTGAAGTGACAGAGAAAGAGAGAGAAAGGGAGAGGGAGAGATATCTTCCTTCTTCTGGTTCACTCCCCAAATGCCCACAACAGCTGGGGCTGTAGTATCTGCGAATTAATGGATTAAATGCTGCAATAGTTCACAGTATATACCACGTTCTGAAACGCAAGGCTTTATCCACACCAATCACATTTTAGGGCACTGATACACTTTTCTAGTAAGATCAGACAGCAGATGAGCTTGGTTTGGTCCTTGTAAAATGGTCCTCACCTTGACAGGACATCAGCTAAAAAGTGCTGATGCCTGGGTCTCCATCCCAGAAACTTTAGTTGGTCTGCTAGTAGGGATTCGAATATGCACCAAGATTGAGAATAATATTTTAGTTGAAGAGATGGGTTGGAGAGAGGGAGGGGGGAAAGAAGGGGAAAGAGGGAGAAAGAGAGAGAGAGAGTGAGAGAGAGCATTTCTATCTGCTGATTCACTACCCAAATGTCCAAAATGGCTGGGCCTGGGCAAGGCTGAAGCCAGAGCCACTAACTCAATCCATGTGTCCCATGTGGGTAGCAGGAACCTTATTGCTTCAGTTGTCACCACTGCCCCCAGGGTCTGTATAAACAGGGCACTGCAGTCAAGAGTTGTTGAGGTGGGAATCTCTCCGATTCATTTGCAAAATGGAGATTGAGAATATTTTATCATCAATTGTGTAATAAAAAGGGAGAATTCTCTGGAAGACATACCATTAGCAGTAGCTAGCTGAAAAGCTAGATCAAGTCCTCCTCTCACTCTGAAGAGTATATCCATAATTTCTGAGACAACCTAGAAGAAATAAAACCAAAATTCCCTTGTCAAACAGAGTAAATTAAAATATAACTGAATCTGGGGTAATATTTCATGAGTTCATTCCTTGTTTTATTGATATAAACGAGACAAAAATCCCCTAAATTCTGAAGCAGGAGTTAGCAATCTTTTTCAATGCTGAAATCCCTTGGGGTGTTTAAGATACTGATACTTGGGCTGCATTCCCAGAGATTCTGATTGGGGCTCTAACATGGGCCCAGGCACAGGGATATCTAAAAGCACCCTCCAGTCCCAGAAAGTGGTACTAAAGTAAACGGCTGACAGCCACTAACTAAGGGACATTAGAAACAGCTTTTTTATTTTATTTTATTTATTTATTTGGGAGGTAGAGTTACAGACAGAGAGAGGGAGAGACAGAGAGAGAGATCTTTCCTCCGTTGGTTCACTCCTCAGATTACTGCAACGGCTGGAGCTGCGCTGATCCGAAGCCAGGAGCCAGGAGCTTCTTCCGGGTCTCCGTGGGTGCAGGGGCCAAAGTCCTTGGGCCCCCTTCTACTGCTTTCCCGGGTCACAGCAGAGAGCTGGATTGGAAGAGGGGCAGCCGGGACTAGAACCAGTGCCCATATGGGATGCTAGCGCAGTAGGCAGAGAATTAACCTACTGCGCCACGGCGCCGGCCCCTAGAAACAGCATTTCTAAATAGTCCTGATGGTTTTATCAATGACATGAAAACACCCATGGTAGAGAACTAGTTTATGAATGTGACCAGAGCACTGAGCCTAATGACACCTGGTGGTCCAGGCAATGAGAGGAAACTGAGACACCAATGACATGGAAGCATGAACGACAAGAACCTTCCATGAATGTGGCAGTGAGAAAGAAAACCTTGTATTCACACCCTAGGCCGAGAGATTCTGTGGTTATAAATTTAGTCTAAGGAAATCAGCAAAACACACAAAGATTCAGGTATAAGAATGTTAACCTGGGACCGGCGCTGTGGCGCAGTGGTTAACGTCCTGGTCTGAAGCGCCGGCATCCCCTATGGGCGCTGGTTCGAGACCTGGCTGCTCCACTTTTGATCCTGCTCTCTGCTGTGGCCTGGGAAAGCAGCAGAAGATGGCCCAAGTCCTTGGGCCCCTGCACCCACATGGGAGACCCAGAAGCAGCTCCTGGTTCCTGGCTTCGGGTTGGCAAAGCTTCAGCCGTTGCAGCTATCTGGGGAGTGAACCATTGGATGGAAGACCTCTCTCTCTCTCTCTCTCTCTCTCTCTCTCTCTCTCTGCCTCTCCTCTCTCTGTGTAACTCTGACTTTCAAATAAATAAATCCTTAAAAGAAAAAGAAAAGAATCTTAACCTAAATGCCAACTAAGATTGGTTAAGTAATCATGGATATCATACAGCTATGAAAAAAATCATGTTTTAATTGAAAATTGAATACCACAGGGCAATATTTGCAACTAAAGGGGAAAAAAAAGCACTTGTGAAATGGAATGGATCCTTACTTGAGTCCATATGCTCAGTTTTAAGTAGTTGGTGATATATGACAAATGATGTACATTGTTTTGCAGGTGTGTGTATTGGGTGGGGGAAGGAAGACTGGGAGGGGACAGGAAGGAGAGGACAGAAAGATATTTAGCGAGAGAAATTTCAAAGATTACATCACATCTTCAAAATATGTCCCAAACAGCACACAGCACAGTAAGAATTATATTTTGAAATACTTGCTAAGTAAGTACTAAAACCCACTGAGTTCTTACAATGTGAACTGTGCTAGATGATGGACATATGTTAACTCTGATCCTCAAAAGATCAAGAAGTAGATATAGTTATACATTTTCTCATTTTCAAGTCTTTTACCATGTTTCTTTAGGAGTGATGGCTTTTACTTATTCCACAAAATGCAAACTATTGAAAAGTTATATTGTTTCCCAAGTCTAGTTTTAGAAATGTATTATAAGAAATCAGTCAGGAAAAACTTATAAGAAAGTTCAGGAAAAACTTAGCTTCAGTGTTGTCCCTTTACCCTTCTGTTGTCCACCATACAAATAAAATCAAAATAAAATAAAAAGGAAACAATTTAAATAGCTATCAATAAGTTAAATGAGTATCAAGCAAAATAGTTTATGCCCAGCTGAAAAAACATATTTAGATATTGAAGATAAAAGGAAAAGTGAGAGCAATTTAGTTCTGTTACTTACTGTATGATTTTGTGTAATTGCATTAATCATGGTTTTTCTTCTGTCAAGTGGAAAAAATATGTGACTTACCAGGATTTTGTCGATTCCCAAGATCATGTGTGAAAGCACTAGGGAGGCTGGGTAAAGCCATGACTTGGCAACGCCAGCATCCCATTTGGGTGCCAGTTCATATTGTGGCTGCTGCACTTCTGATCCAGCTCCCTGCTAATGGCCTGGGAAACAGTGAAGACAGCCCGTGCTTGGGCCCGTGCATCCACATGGGAGACCAGGATGAAGTTCCTGGCTCCTGGCTTCCCTGGCTCAGCCCTGGCCTTTGCAGCCATTTGGGGAGTGAACCAACAGATGGAAGATCTTTCTCTCTCTGTCTTCCCCCCTCAACCCCGGTAACTCTTTGAAATAAATAAACCTTTAATAAAAAAAAAAAAAAAAGAAAGAAAGAAAGAAAAGCAAGCACTAGAATCTCCCTACATCTCTGAACTGAGATCCTCTCTGAAGAAGTAATATTTAAGCAAGGAGCTGAAGGCTAACTCGGTTTAAATATCAACAATCCCAAAACAAAGATGGTGGTGGGCGGGTGAAGGTGGGAGAATCCATTCCAAGGAGCGCAGACACCCTGGTGAAGGTCTGCTTAAGAGTACTTAAGCGACCATTCCAGAGAGTTCCGGTAGTGGCAAGTATGGTCAACATTTAGCAGTAGAACGCACAGATTTGGTTATCGCTGGGCTGTTCAGGAGTTGAGGAGAGGGAGAGGTCAAGGGCTATGGCCAGGTGTTTAGCAGGCACAGTGGACAGCGGTGCCGTTTGCAGAAACGGGGAATCCTGGAGGAAAGGCAGGCGTGGGGCGAGGGCACTGTCAGTTTTGCACTTGCTGACTGTGAAATGCCGGCTGTCCAAGCGGAGGCGCAGTCAGCAGCTGCGGGGAACTGAAGACCCAAAGAAAGGCCTAAGCCGGAGATGCAAATCTGGGCGGAGGTATAGGATACAAAGTGTCCCTAGGAAGACCGACAACCAGCACCGGGGCTGGAGAACTGGGCAGAGTGACGAAACAGGCGGCGCACCAGGAGCGTGTGACGTCACGGAGGCTTATGGATAGCACATTTGAACAAAGTTACACCCGTTTCCCAGATTAAATGCTTCTGCAAAGCCTCCCACAGCGCCGAGTAAAGAATCAGTCTGGAAACAAGCAGGAGGGGCGGGGAGCGAGTGATTATAGCGGGCGGCTTCCCTGCCACCCTACAGGGCATTAAGGCCGAGGGCCGTATCGGAGTTCGCAGCTGCAGCCAGGACGCCGGCGGGACAGGCTTTTTTCAGGGGCTCGGGAGCTGTACACAGGGCACCTGCCTCAGTCGGAGGGGAAACGCGAGGGTCGGGGAAGAGCGGCGATACTTACCACGTCCGCGACGTGGCAGTAACACACTCGTTGACCCCCGTCCGCGAACTCCGGAGCCAGACCGGAAGTAGCGTCATCCCCCCGGGGGCGAGGCTTGGGAGGAAAGACTACGCCTCCCAACATGCCCGGCAGCACTGCGTCACGGAGTGTACCACGCCACAACTTCTGGCCGAAGGCAGGAAAGGCGGGAAGCACAAGACTTACTTTCTATGAAATCTATTGGTTGAATCTTTCGTTTGATGCAGATGCTCTGAAATCCTTCTGTGTGTTCTTCGGTGGAGAGTGGACTGTTCGCGTGTCCTGCCCTCTCGTGCTTGGAATGGTTTCTCCCGTTTCCAGGGCAACGCACCACAACAATCGCCCGCCGTTCGCAGAACCCTGGGCAGCTTTGGCCCGCGCGGGAAGCGCTCCTGGAGCCGAATGAACCCGGGCTGAGCTGTGATGGCGTGATCTCGGTACCGGGTCAGGCGCTCTTTGGAGAGGTGACTTGGTCCACGAGGACACCAGGCGTTGCCCTTGGACACTTGTCTCTTCGCATCCTCCGTCTCCCTAGTGGGAAAGTTTTCTCAGCACCTCAGAGCTTTAATATCTTTTTTTTTTTTTCACTCGTCGCTGCCACGACACTTCATCTGTGCCTTTCGAAGGGAATTTGCCAAAGTCCACTTGTTCATTCATTTTGTCTAACTAGGTGTGCGCTCCCTGAGGGCAGATCTGTGCCTCGTAAGTATGAGAGGCCCTAGCTTCTCCCGGAAGGGCGGTTCGCGATGTGTGTCAAAGGAGTGGGCGAGCGAGTGGTCAGTGCGGAGCAAGAAGCCTGGGAAGTGGGAAGGTTCAAGGCAGGAATGTCTTCCCCTTTCCTCCTCCTCTTCCACTCGGTCCGTGGCGCGCTTGATTGAGCCGCGCAACCCCGGGAAAACCGCGGTGAAGAACCGCCCAGCTCTCACCACAGGTCCTGCCTTTGCGGAGCCCAGCTTACAGGCTGTTAATGAAGGGATTCCTGTACCGGGGATCTGTTAGATACGCGTGGTGAGGGCTTAGCAGGGGACGCACTTGCCGCTCTGAGAGAGGGGCTTAAGGAAGTGCGAATAACCTGGTGCTAATCGGAAAGAGCCGTCCTGCTGTGTAACAGCATGTGCAATGGTCCTGTGGCTGGAGAGAAGAAGCCCACCGAGACAGCAGCCCAGAGGCGAGGAGCAGGGTTCTCGTAAGGATGGCAGACCTTTGGGTCATTGAAAGGATTTAAGGCCATGGAGCAACACGGCAGTGGAGATGAAACAGCATAAACAGAATACCACATCCCCAAATGGCTGATGTTTAGATTTGGAGAAGTTGTGAAGAGGGGAAGGACGTTCTGTTTTCTTGTTCTTTAAACTGCGTCTTCATATAACCCTTTGACGGTGCACATCAGCAATGTCATGCTCAGTGACTCGTACTCAGAGCAAGTAGGCTGAGCACTTGAGGAGGGGAGAGCTCTCTTCTCGGGAAGCGAAAGCCAGTGCGAGTTTTATACGCTGATCTGTGCCCAGTGCCTAGTTTGTAGTTGGTGTTACAAACCATTAGGAAGAAATGGAGGCGAGTGTTCCTAGTTCTTTGCTCCTCCTTTTTAGAACAATTCTAAGATATAAAAATTGATTTCTAAGTTAATAGATGCATTTTTTTAAAAGAAACACATTTTTTAAGATTTATTTTATTTATTTGAAAGACAGAGTTACAGAGATAGAGAGAGATCTTCCATTCGTTGGTTCACTCCCCAGATGGCCACAATGGCTGGAGCTGTGCCAATCCGAAGCCAGGAGCCAGGAGCTTCCTCTGGGTCTCTCACGCGGGTACAAGGGCCCAAGGTCTTGGGCCATCTTCTACTGCTTTCCCAGGCCACAGCAGAGAGCTGGATTGAAAGAGGGGCAGCCAGGGCCTGAACTGGCACCCATATGGGATGCCGGCACTTCAGGCCAAGGCTTTAACCCACTGTGCCACAGCACCAGCCCCAATAGATGCATGTTTAATGTTTAGACTTTTGTTTGAAGTGATCATTTCAAAAGAAAATTCAAGTTGCACTCTGCCCTACAACAAATACTCAGAATTCATTGTAGATTTTTGATTTGTTTCCTTGTTTTTATCTTGCCTAAGCAATTCTCTCCCTCTGTTGACCGATTTTGCCAGTGGCACATTTCTTATTTAAGTCCATTTAAGTTGAAAACTCAAAAACAGGGCTATTCTGAAAAATTGTACATTCTGAAAACCTAAGTTATAGCTTTCAATACAATGGGTAATGCAGTATGTATGTATCATTTTATCTAAACCATACAAAGTCTTACTAAAACTTTGAGGTCTACCTTAAACTTCTCAAAAAAAAAAAAAAAAGGATGTTGTTTATATATTATACTCCATGGCAACAATTTTATCATTTCCAACAGATAATGGCTGTAAAACAAATGCTGGCTTACGTCTTCCTTTGTACTTTGTGGGAACTTAACACATAATCAAAAGGAGGTTTCAGGCCGGTGCCGCGGCTCACTAGGCTGATCCTCAGCCTGCGGCGCCAGCACCCTGGGCTCTAGTCCCGGTTGGGGCGCTGATTCTGTCCCGGTTGCTCCTCTTCCAGTCCACCTCTCTGCTGTGGCCCGGGAAGGCAGTGGAAGATGGCCCAGATGCTTGGGCCCTGCACCTGCATGGGAGACCAGGAGGAAGCACCTGGCTCCTGGCTTCGGATCGGCGCAGCGCGCTGGCCAGAGAGGCCACTTGGGGGGTGAACCAAAGGAAGGAAGACCTTTCTCTCTGTCTCTCTCTCTCTCTCACTAACTCTGCCTGTCCAAAAAAAAGAGGTCTCATGATGATGTTTAAAAGTAATTTATATTCTCTTTCTTTTTAGATTTACTTATTTGAAAGGGAGAGAGAGAGAGAGTCTTCCTTTTTTTTTTTTTTTTTTTTTTTTTTGACTGCCCGAGTGGAAAGGGGGAGAAAGACAAAGAGAAAGGAATTGCTTAACCTATTGATAAACCCTACAATAGACGCCGCGGCCAGCGTGCTGCGGCCGGCGCACCGCGCTGATCCGAAGGCAGGAGCCAGGTACTTCTCCTGGTCTCCCATGGGGTGCAGGGCCCAAGGACTTGGGCCATCCTCCACTGCACTCCCTGGCCACAGCAGAGAGCTGGCCTGGAAGAGGGGCAACCGGGACAGAATCCAGCGCCCCGACTGGGACTAGAACCCGGTGTGCTGGCGCCACAAGGCGGAGGATTAGCCTGTTGAGCCACGGCGCCGTCCCTGAGAGAGTCTTCCATCTGCTGGTTCATTCCCCAAATGCCAAATGGCCACAACTGGCAGAACTGGGCCAGGAAGCCAGGAGCCAAGAGCTTCTTGGTCTCCCACGTGGGTGCAGAGTCCCAAGGTCTTTGACTGTCTGCTGCTTTCCTAGATGCTTTAGCAGGGAGCTGGACAGGAAGTGGAACAGTTGGGATCGAACCATGCCCATATGGGATGTCGGCACTGCAGGAGGCGAATTAACCTTCTGTGCCACACCACCAGCCCTCGTGGTAATTTTGAATTCCAGTTTCCTCCCCTTGGCCCACTGAGTGTTCTTTCACCACAGTTTTAGATTGTTTATAGTGACTATTAAAACTCTCATACTTGGAGCGAGTGTTTGACGCAGAGGTTAAAATACCACTTGGGATGCTGCATCCCGTATCAGTGCCTGGGTTCGGGTCCTGGCTCTGCTGCCAATTCCAGATTCCTGCCAATGCACACTCCGGGAGGCAGCAGATGATGGTGTAGCAGCTGGATCCCTGACGTGTACGTGGGAAACACAGAATGAACTCTGGGCTTCCGGCTTTGACCTGGCCAAGTTGTGCCTTTTCTGGGCATTTGGGGAGTGAACCAGCAGATGGAAAAGATCTCTGTCTGTCTCTCTACCGTTCACATAATAATGTTAAGAATAACAACTCTCAAACTGAAAGTTGGACTGAAATTGAGAATCATTTTTCTCTTTTCTTCCTGTATTTCTCTATGTAAAGGAGGCTTTTTCTATAAAAGAAGCAGCCCTAAAGAGACTTTCAAAGTTAGCAGGATACAGCAAACCGCCCTAAGAAGCAACCATGCCTCTCGAAGGAGGAAAGACTGACATGGAGAGGATTGGCCTCTTTAGTGAGATGGAATACATTACTGTTGGTGATAAATATGTCTCACAATTTAATAGTAAGTGTTTACATGTATTTTTAACTGAATAGTGGGTATGTACTATATAAGTTTTGAATTTAGTTTTTAAGTTAAATGATATTTTTGATAGTCTATATTTTAAAGCATTAAGGTTCTAAGTTGATTAATTTGTGAAATTTTAAAAGATAACTTTTTAAGTAGGAAACTAATTTTATGGGGCTACACTCCCTCATTTATTGTTCTTATAGGAAACTTTATTTCTTTCTAAAGGAACATGGCATGGCAGAATATTTAGCTTTTAGTGTTTTGTTGTTGTTGTTATTTGCTTGTTTTGTGTTTTTGCTTAGATGGGACATTGTCCTATGCAAACAGCATATATGTTTGGTATCCAAGAAGGCCATCTCTTATCACTTTCCTGAATAATAAAATGCTAAATGAATAGCTGAAGGGGTTTTGGGAAAGTCATAAATAATAAAAGGAGCTAAAGTACATTGAATGTTTGAATATCCAATGACTTCTATGCAACAGTAAAACAAATATATGGATATGGAAACAGCTCCAAGATGCATGCTGAATAAAAAAATAAAGTGCAGAATAGTGTATATGCTATGCTAGACATTAAACATGGAAAAGGATATGTGTGAAAATGTTCAACTGAACATACCTAAACATTCTCTGGAAAACAAATTAATATTGTTGCCTATGGAAGAGGAACTGGGTGGTCAAGTGTGAGAGAAAGACTTACTGTGAAAATGTGTGTTACTGACTGTGGAAATTGTGAATGTCTCACAGGTACTCTTTTTTTTTGGACAGGCAGAGTGGACAGTGAGAGAGAGAGAGACAGAGAGAAAGGTCTTCCTTTTTGCCGTTGGTTCACCCTCCAATTGCCGCCACGGCCGGCGCATCACGCTGATCCAAAGCCAGGAGCCAGGTGCTTCTCCTGGTCTCCCATGGGGTGCAGGGCCCAAGCACTTGGGCCATCCTCCACTGCACTCCCGGGCCATAGCAGAGGGCTGGCCTGGAAGAGGGGCAACCAGGACAGAATCTGGCACCCCAACCGGGACTAGAACCCAGTGTGCCGGTGCCGCAAGGCGGAGGATTAGCCTATTGAGCCGCGGCACCGGCCACAGGTACTCTTATATTTTTGAAATTTAAGTTAAAGAATCAGTGATACAAATTAACGTTGCAACACACTTGTTGAATTAAGTGTTGTGTGCTTTTCAAAAAATTCTTCACATTGCTGAAGGACTTCTCAACTTGAGTTCTCTTAGATCCAAATTAAAAAGGAAGTTCAAATGCTTATGAAAACAGCCTCTAAATAATTACTTGGCTGCTAGTGTTTCATTGTATAAATGCCATGAGCTAAAAAATCCTCTTGATGACATTTGGGCTTTCTGTTATGTTTTTATGTTGCTGAATGAAACTGCTATGACCATTTACCTTTGTGTCTTTTAGTGGACATGGGCATTCATGTGTCTTGAATATACCTAGGAAGGGAATTAGGTATAGCCCTTCAACCTCACACACATTCTTTCTGATGTCTTGCACCAGGGTCCCTAGTATGTTAGAGTATATTGGAGGGAGATTAGAGTATATTGGAGGGAGAACAATGAATTCAATAATGAATTCAGTAACCTGTAAGGTCTCTTCCAGCTCTTAAATCCACAGTGTATAACCAACCCCTTACCCTAGTGTTAAAATATTTTAGTGAGGCCGGCCCCGCTGCTCAAAAGGCTAATCCTCCACCTTGCGGCGCCGGCACACCGGGTTCTAGTCCCGGTTAGGGCGCTGGATTCTTTCCTGGTTGCCCCTCTTCCAGGCCAGCTCTCTGCTGTGGCCAGGGAGTGCAGTGGAGGATGGCCCAAGTGCTTGGGCCCTGCACCCCATGGGAGACCAGGAGAAGCACCTGGCTCCTGCCATCGGATCAGCGCAGTGCGCCGGCCGCAGTGCGCCGGCCGTGGCGGCCATTGGAGGGTGAACCAACAGCAAAGGAAGACCTTTCTCTGTGTCTCTCTCTCTCACAGTCCACTCTGCCTGTCAAAAAAAAAAAAAAAAAAAAAAAAAAAATTTTAGTGACAATCTCTTAGGACTTACAGTCAATAAAGCCTTTAACACAGAACTTTCTGTGAATGTTTTGAAGCTCTAATAAGACCTCAAAACTCATAACTAGCCTAAGTCTCATTTGGAAACTTTTACAAGTGATTTTTTCATGTCCTTTAATTACTAGTGAGCTCAAAATTATAGTATTCCTATTTTATTTTTAAAGGACCCTTCAATGAGGCTGCAAGCAAAAATAGACAGATGTTACCTGGGGGATCCAAAGGAATGTCTGATCTCCAGGCAGGTTATTTTGATTCCCAATTTGGAAGGATTTTTGAAGGTGAAGGCTATGTAAATCTGAATCAAGTGAAGAGACAGCATATGATGGAAGAAGCAAAAAAAAATCTAGGCAAAGCCTTTCTCCCTAGTAGTGGGGATAAAAAGCCGTAAGTGTTTGGGAAAATGTCTTAAGTGGATCTTCTGCACCGCTCTCTATTTAGCTTAAATGAAATACTCATTTTTCTCTAGGATTCAGTTATGTGAAATTAATTTTTAAGTACTATTCTCAGGATACTTTGTCTTAGGTGGAATCAGATTGGATGATTTAGATTGACAGGTTAATTTTGATTAAGTATATTCTTATTCTCATGTTATGTTTTGGATTATATATGTTACTGTTCCCTATTAGCTTGTATAATAAAAAACAAATAATAAAAATAAATAAATTTGTTAAAAAACTTTAAAGATTGAGGAAAAAGTTGCCTTTTTTTGATAAAGAAAATAGTTTATAGCGCCAGCCGTAGCGGCCATTTGGGGGGTGAACCAATGGAAGGAAGACCTTTCTCTCTGTCTCTCTCTCTCTCTCACTGTCTATCTGTCAAATAAAAAAATAAATATATTATCTTAAATTTATTGTGAAGACACTTTCATGGGGTTTAAAAATATTTTAATCTTGACAGTTATCAATGTAAAGGTTCAGTTTTTTCTTACCTTTAAATCATGAGTTTAACAAATAAGACCAAGTATTTTGTGTTATATAGCTGAGATCTGAAATACGATGCTTTTCACATTTATTAACTTTGAGTCTCTCAATTTAGAATTGATGGTGGATGAGAGCTGGTTGAGGTCTAACTTTGTGTTTATTTGCTGTATTTTCTTGAGACTAGGAAAACCATGTTTCTTGATTCAACCTTCTTTTAGTTCTAACAGGCACCTTCTCTTCTCAGCCAAAACAACTGTCTTTATTAAGAGTGGGAAATTTCTTCTTTTCTGCTATTACTGTCATTCCATCTTTTTTACTGTTTAGGTAGATTTTAATTATTTATTTTTACTATTTTCTAGACTTCTTTTTAGATTTAATTCAAAACTGCTATTTCTTTGTATGTATTTTATCTTTAAATAACTGTTTCCTAATTTTTAGTCTTTCCCTCAACTATGATGAAATTTGATCCATGTAGTAATATCTGGAAATTGTTGCATTGATATATTAGTTTATAATATGCTTATATTTGTTAGTCAAGAAATTATAATAATTTTATAATTAGACTAGCTTTCTTTTTGAAGTTCACAGATATGTGAGAAACCTCTGTAATTTTGTGGGTTACAGAAAGTGTTTCCAAAAAGAGAGATTCATGATGTAAACACAAAACTCTTACATGGGCACTTATTCAACATCAAATTATATAACCAGAGACATTAAATAAATTCTAAGTATAGTGATTTTCATTATTGCATGAAATCACATTCTATTTAAATTATACTACTGTATAATTGTCCTTTTGTTTGTAATATCATTGCTTTATTCCCTTACTGTATTTTAGAATTTTATGACATAGGGACTGGTGCTGTGGTGCAGTGGGTTAAGCCATAACCTGCAGTGCCGTCATCCCATTTGGGTACCTGCTGCTCCACTTCCAATGAAGCTCCCTGCTAATGTGCCTGGGAAAGCAGCAAAAGACAGCTGAAGTCCCTGGGCTGCTGCACCCACGTGGGAGACCTGGAGGAAGCTCCTGGCTTCAGCCTGGCCAAGCCCTGACTGTTGTGGCCATTTAGGGAGTGAACCAGTAGATGGAAGATCTCTCTCTCTCTCTCTCTTCCTCCCTCTCTCTCTCCCTTTCAAATTAATAAAATCTTTTTTTTTTAAAGGAGTTTTATGACATGAAGGCGCTTCAGAAGTTTTTGGAAAAATGGAATCAAAAGACAAGTTAGGCCGGCGCCGCGGCTCACTAGGCTAATCCTCCGCCTTCCAGCGCCGGCACACTGGGTTCTAGTCCCGGTCGGGGCACCGATTTTCTGTCCCGGTTGCCCCTCTTCCAGGCCAGCTCTCTGCTGTGGCCCAGGAGTGCAGTGGAGGATGGCCCAAGTCCTTGGGCCCTGCACCCCATGGGAGACAAGGCTAAGTACCTGGCTCCTGCCTTCGGATCAGCGCGGTGCATCAGCCGCAGCGTGCCGGCCGCGGCGGCCATTGGAGGGTGAACCAACGGCAAAAGGAAGACCTTTCTCTTTGTCTCTCTCTCTCTCTCACTATCCACTCTGCCTGTCAAAAAAAATATATAAATAAATAAAAATAAAAAAAGACAAGTTAATTTTGAAATTTGAAATTCATGCATAGAAGGGTCCTCAGAAAGTCCATGTAAGATATATATTATGAAAAACTATGCATGGATTTCAAAAGTGTTTTGGACTAAAATCATCTATTTTCTGTGAACTTTATGAACTGCCTGCATATGTTCATAGACAGGAATTAATGGATTTTTTTTTTTTTTGCAAAAATGTATTTATTTATTTGAAAGGCAGAGTTACAGAGAGACCGAGAGAGAGAGAGATGGAGAGAGAGAGAGATCTTTCATCTGCTGGCTGACTCCCCAAATGACTACAATGGCTGGGCTAGGCCTGGCTGAAGCCAGGAGTCAGGAGCTACATCCAGGTCTCCCACATTGGTGGCAGGGCCCAAGCACTTAGACCGTCTTCTGCTGTTTTCCCAGGTGCAATAGCAGGGAGCTGGATTGGAAGCAGCCAGGACTCAAACTGGTGCTCACATGGGATGCTGGCCTCCCAAATGGCAGTTTAACTGGCTGCACCACCACGCTGGCCCCTGAATATTCTCTCTTACTGAATTTTTTTTTTTTAAGATTTTATTGCCGGCACCGCGGCTCACTAGGCTAATCCTCTGCCTAGTGGCGCCGGCACACCGGGTTCTAGTCCTGGTTGGGGCGCCGGATTCTGTCCCGGTTGCCCCTCTTCCAGGCCAGCTCTCTGCTGTGGCCAGGGAGTGCAGTGGAGGATGGCCCAGGTGCTTGGGCCCTGCACCCCATGGGAGACCAGGAAAAGCACCTGGCTCCTGGCTCCTGCCATCGGATCAGCGCGGTGCGCCGGCTGCAGCGCGCCAGCCGCGGCGGCCATTGGAGGGTGAACCAACGGCAAAAGGAAGACCTTTCTCTCTCTCTCTCTCTCTCTCTCACTGTCCACTCTGCCTGTCAAAAAAAAAAAAAATTAAAAAAAAAGATTTTATTTATTTATTTGAGTGGTAGTTACAGAGAGAGAGAGAGAGAGGCCTTGCATCTGCCGGTTCACTCTCCAATTGGCCACAGAGGCCAGAGCTGCACCAATCCAAAGCTAGGAGCCAGGAACTTCTTCAGGGTCTCCCACCTGGGTGCAGGAGCCTGAGGAATTGGGCCATCTTCTATTGCTTTCCCAGGCCACAGCAGAGAGCTGGATCAGAAATGGAGCAGCTGGGTCTCAAACCGGCACCTATATGGGATGCCCGCGCTCAGGCCAGGGCGTTAACCCACTGCACCACAGCGTCTGCCCCCCAAAATCAGATTAAAATCTAACAAAATGTGTCTTTTTTTTGTACCAAAGTCAGGTAGCTTAGTTCCATTGTGTGTATTTTTCTCCTTTTCCAATCTTTTAAAAAAATGTTGTAAAATATATATAACATGAAATTTATCATTTAATCAAAACACAAAATTGTCTTTAAGATGTGGATTAGGAAGCTACTATGGAACCATAGGTGGTCCAATTCCATTCTTCAGTGCACAATCAAAACCCAGAGAAAAATATGAGGCACCTGGAAAGAACTTATACACAAACCCAGGAAAGAAAGGAACTGGATATGGGTAAGATATTTTAATACTTTCATGTAATTTTGAAATTTTTTTAAAGATTTGTTTATTTATTTGAAAGTCAGAGTTACAAAGCTGGGGGAGGGGAGCAGAGAGAGAGAGAGAGAGAGAGAGAGAGAGACAGAGACCGACCTTCCATCTGCTGCTTTGCTCCAGGTTGCTGCTGGGCCAGGTCGAAGCCAGGAGCCAGGATCTCCATCCAGGTCTCTCATGGGTGACAGGGGCCTGAGGACTTGTGCCCTCTTCTGCTGCTTTCTCAGGCCGTTAGCAGGGAGCTGGATCAGAAATGGAGCAGACAGACACTTGTGATGCCAGTGCCCATAGGGGTGGCGCTTTACCCACTACACCACAATGCTGGACCTATTTGTTTTGGATTTTTTTTTCTTTTGGTGAAGATTTGTTTATTTTATTTGGAAGTCAGAATTACAGAGGGAGAGAGAGAAGGAGAGACTGAGGGAGACACCTTCCATCCTCTAGTTTACTCCCCAGATGGCCGCAAAGGCTGGGCCAGAGCCAGGAGCCAGGAGCTTCTTCTGGGTCTCCCACATGGGGGCAGGGGCTTCAGCCATCCTCTGCTGCTTTCCTGGTGCATTAGCAGGGAGCCAGATTGGAAGTGGAGCAGCTGGGACAGGAACCCGTGCCTTAGGGGATACCAGTGTTGCTACACAGAATCAGCCCCTTGTTTTGAATTTTAAAAAAATAAAATTTCTGAGCCTCAAAGTGACCATGACTTATTTTCTTTCCTTAGCTATGCAAATATTACCATAGGTAAACAGTTTTCACATTCAGCTGATTTCTATGATGCACCCAAAGTAAATTATAAGGTAAAATATCTATTTTGAATTTTTCAAACTTCCTTTATTTGGTGGACTTGAAGAATTCACTTGTGGTGAAATTATGTTTTTGTTTGATCTGTTTATGTCACTGGACAGAACTAGCCTGATGTGTTTGGATTGTGATAATTTTGCCTTTTAATGCTAGATTCCCACATCTTGCTATAGAGCCTCTTAGTTCTTTTTTTTTTTTTTTAATTTATTTGCCAGGTAGATTTATAGACAGAGAGAAAGAGAGGTAGAGAGAAAGGTCTTCCTTCGGTTGGTTCACCCCCTAAATGGCCGCTATGGCTGGCACTGCCAGGTGCTTCTTCCTGGTCTCCCATGTGGGTGCAGGGCCCAAGCACCTGGGCCATCCTCCACTGCCCTCCTGGGCCACAGCAGAGAGCTGGACTGCAAGAGGAGCAACCAGGACTAGAACCCGGCGCCCATATGGGATGCTGGCGCTGCAGGCAGAGGATTAACAAAGTGAGCCACGGCGCTGGCTCCACAATTAATATGAGCCTCTTAGTTCTAATAATAGTTGTGTGTACTTACTGGGTACAGTGTGATAATTAGATACTTGTATATAATATGCAATGATCAAATCAGGATAATTAACATTTCTGTCTCCTTAAATGTTTATCTGTTGTTCATGCTGGGAAGCTGCCAACACCTCTTTTGCAGTTCTTTATAAAATCTGTAGCTTTTGTAAACTAGAGTCAACCTAGTGTGTTGTGGTGCCTGGAACTTACTCTTTCCATCGAACTGTACTGTGGTACCCATTATCGATAGAACACTTGTCCTGGGTGTGGGCATAACCCATTTGTGAAATTGGCCACTGTCCTGTCTCACAATACTGCAGCCAATTAAAGCCACCATAGCAACATTACAAATTACCATATGCTTCCCATGAAAACAATTTTGAGAGACACATCCTCAAAGGAAAACCAGAATACAAATGAATTATCTGTACCCTTGTGATGGAGAAGAGGAGAGAGCCGATTGCCAAGGAGTGAGTGTTCTACAGGCTGGACAGATTAAAAAAAAAGAAAAATCTGAAAAGAGAAAAAATTTTCTGAATGTGCTGCAGCAGAATTCCTGTAGTGAAAATTAGTCTTCTCTGGGATAACTATTTTAGATTTCATTTCTCAGATGTTTTCTCTTCACTTTGTTGAATGATAAAATACCAGTTTCATATTTGCAAGGAGTGAAAAAAGTGTATCAAGAATTTCACTCTTTTTAAAATTTGTATTTCATATCCTAAGTTCTTTTGTTACTTTATTAACAGCTAGCATTTTTTTTGAAAAAGATTTATTTATTTGAAAGGCAGAGTTAAAGAGAGGCAGAGAGAGAGGTCTTCCATCTGATGGTTCACTCCCCAAATGGCCACAATGGCCAGAGCTGTGCCGATCTGAAGCCAGGAGCCAGGAGCTTCTTCCTGGTCTCCCACATGGATGCAGAGGTCCAAACACTTGGGCTAGTTTCTAGTGCTTTCCCAGGCCATAGCAGAGAGCTCGATTGGAAGTGAAGCAGCCAGGACTTGGACTGGAGTCCATTTGGGATGCTGGCACTGCAGGCTGTGGCTTTACTTGCTATACCACGGCACTGGTCCCAACAGCTAGCAATTTAAAAACAATTTATGGGGGCCAAACTTGAAGAATCTGTATGAAGGAATTCACCTCTACCTACCGTCCCCCACCCCTACCCCTAGACTACCTAAGATATAAAAACGTCCAGCCCCTGGTGTCTGGGCCCTTTGCCTTGTGTTTGGTCTGTGTGCACGCTGGCAGTTGCTCAATCTGAGTTTATTTTCTTTGAATAAATTCAGTTTGGCTGTGAAAAAAAATTAATTTACTTAGAGAAAGAGAGAAAGAAAGAGAGACACAGAGATTTTCCATCTTCTAGTTCACTTCCCAAATGCTTACAATGGCCAGGGATGTAATCAAAGTCTCCCATGTGAGCAACAGAAACCTAAGTACTTGAGCCCTCACCCCAGCCTCTCCGCGCTTGCGTTAGCAAGAAGCTGTAGTCAGGAACCAGAGCCTGGTATGGAACCTAGGTCCTCCAGTGGAATGCAGGCATCTGAACCAGCAGCTTAACTCTAGACTAAATACCCACGCCAGGCTCTGGATTTTTATACTTAGTGTTGTCCCATGGAAAAATCTGCAATACGAGAGGGGTGGAAATGACCCATTTTGCTTGAATACTAGGTAGATACAAATAATATAACAGAAAGACGCTATGAGAAAATTCAGTGTTTTTTATTCTTAGAAGAAACTAGCATTGGTTGAAGATTTACCATGTGCTGAGTGCTTTATATAATCTCAATCAATCTTTACAATGGTGTTAAAAAGGGGGGGGAGATGATATCACCCCCATTTACAGTTGAAGATGTGACTCTGCAGGGGTAACTTTCCCAGTGTCCCTGCCTGAGAAATGACAGCAGTCAGTAAGGAGGTAGGGTTTGAACCAAAGACCAGTCCTTTTTTAACTACATCATTCTGCTCAGAGAGTTAATGGAGATTTGTTTAGATGATAAATAGATCACTACACTTCAAATAAACATATCTAAAATGAATAATAGCTATGCTTATTCATAAGTAGGCATATCTTTAGTGTCATAAAAATGAATTTAACTAAGGAATGTGTTTATTAAAAAACTTCCTCCATTACTATAATCTACATGCTTACATTAAGATTTAAAAGAAGGTGGGGCCAGCGCTGTGGTGCAGCAGGTTAAAGCCTTGGCCTGAAGTGCTAGCATCCCATATGGGTGCCAGTTCTAGTCCCAGCTGCTCCTCTTCCAATCCAGCTCTCTGCTATGGCCTGGGATAGCAGTAGAAGATGGCCCAAGTCCTTAGGCCCCTGCACCCGCATGGGAGACCCGGAGGAAGCTCCTGGCTCCTGGCTTCGGCCGTCGTGGCCATCTGGGGAGTGAAGCAGCGGATGGAAGACCTCTTTTTCTCTCTGTCTCTACCTCTCTCTGTAACTGTCTTTCAAATAAATAAAATAAAATAAATCTTAAAAAAAAGAGAAAAAGTTTCTTAAAAAAAAGATTTAAAAGAAGGTTTGACTCTAAGTTATTTCCAGTTTGCATAATTCTGCTATGTAATTTTGACCTCGATTTACAGAAAGAGAATGAAGCACACCGTCGTTTACTCAAAGGAACACCTTTCAAGTTAAATCTTTATCCAAAGGATTATTTTGACACCAATCCTTACTCTTTTGAGAAAGCTTTGCCACCCATTAAAAAAGTGGAAAAGAAAGAAGTGCTTTCAAGCCCTTTTAAACCCTCTTCTCCTGGTAAAAAGGTAAGTTAAAAATTGGGAGCATCTTAATGAAATCCTGTCTCTTATTGTCAAATTATTTTATTACCCACATAAATAATAAACTTATTCATATGGATGCCAAGAATCATGGAACCACACTTATAGAATTATGAGAAATCACAAAGCATGACTAGTGTAGAGGATAATGAAGCTTTTGTAATGAAGGGATTTTTAATCACTTCAATTGCATGTGAATTGACAATGAATTTTTGATGTGTCTCTCTAGATGCTAGGCCTAGTGTTTCTCAAAAAAATTCCTGTTTCTGAGCTACCTCCTTACTACAGAAATTTACAAATGAGAATAAAAATTAAAATGCTCTGACACTTTATAAACCTTATTTTATAATTTTTCCCCTATGAATTTCCTGTTCATTTTCCCTGTGGACTTTTTATTAGGATGTTTGTGGTTTTTCATACTGATTTACAAGATCATGTATTAAGGCTACTACTCTTTTGTCATTTGTGTTGAAAGTAATTTTTCTAGTCTGTTGGATTTTGACTTTGTTTCGATATTTTGTGTTTGGAAATTTAATAATTTAGGGCAGGCACAGACTCAGGAGTCTCTGCTCAGCTGGTTGCTGGGCGCAGACAGGAGCTTGCACAGCTAGCACAGCTGTTACATACGTCGACAATGGCACCCGCTCTCTATCGGCTTGTTACAGGACGCCATTGCAGGGTAACTGGGGAGAGAGAATGTGCTCTCCCTCCTTTTTTTCCTCTTCTAGTTTGGCAGGTACACTACCCACCACAGGGCTCCAAGCCAGATTCCCTCCAGACTTTTCTTGAAGCTTTATTCTTGGGCTTTTGCATTCTGGAGTCGCTCTCCCAAGCTGGTGCGGAGGCTCTGGGCTGCTGGGGTCCTGATTGGTGCATGTCCACACCCTCTATGTAGGTTGGCTGTGTCCTTCCAATTTGAGTAGAGTTTCCTCTGCCATTTTCTCCCCAACTCTTCCCTGAAACTGCACTCCTTCCACTTTTTTTTTTTTTTAAACTATCTTCTCCTAGACTAGAGTGGTAAGCTCCCTCTTTACTCCACCATATTAATTCCTCCCCGTCATTCCTTCTTAAAACAAAGTATCCATTTATAACATGCCGATTTTTGGAGGCATTGTCCTTATAATCTTTTCAGAAAGCATCAGTGATTTCACCATTTTACCCATGTTTTCCAATATAACTTTGATATTCTTTCTTTAATTTTAGCACAATGGATGCTCTGACAGGGGCTTTTTTCACATTGGTGTCATATCCTTCCTAGTGCCTCAAACTAGATCTTCGTCTTTTTTTTTTTTTTTTTTGGATTAAGGATTTTATTTATTTACTTGAAAGTCAGAGTTACAGAGAGGGAGAGGAAGAGAGAGAGAGAGAAAGAAAGAGAGAGAGAGAGAGAGGCCCTCCACCTGCTGATTCACTCCCCAAATGGCTGCAATGGTTGGAGCTGAGCTGATCTGAAGCCAGGAGCCAAGAGCTTCCTCTGGGTTTCCCATGCAGGTACAGGGGGGCCCAAGAACTTGGGCCATCTTCCACTGCTTTCTCAGGCCATAGCAGAACAGCTGGGACCCAAACTGGTGCCCATATGGGATGCTGGTTACTGTAGGCAGCGGCTCTACCTGCTCTGCCACAGTGCCAGCCCCAGTAATGAATGTTTCTATTTCCTAATCACAGTGTGTTTGGAGCCTTTAAACTTTTACTTTGTAGTTTTCACAAAATAGATAGTGTCAAATATGAGTATAGTCCCCTCACTTTGCTGTAGAACTTATTTCTACTGTACCTGTGTTTTGGTATCCATTAACCAATCTCTTCAATGACCACCTCCTAACTCCCTCTTCAGTCTCTAATAATCACTATTCTATGTTCAGATCAATTTTTTAATCTTTCATATATTAGAGAAAATGTTTGACATTGCCTTTTGTGTCTAATATTTCACCAACATGATGTTCTCTGGCTCCATCCATTTTGCTGCAAATGACAGAATTTTGTTCTTTTTCATGGCTGAACAATAATACATTGTGTATATGAGTATGTAGCACATTGCTATTATCCATTGTTGTGCAACTAGATTGATTCCATATCTTAGAAATTGTGAATAATGCTGCAATGAATATGATGGTGCAGAATGATAGTGCAGATATCTCTAGTTCCTAATTTAATTTCCTTTAGATATATATCCAGAAGTTAGAGTACAGGATCACAAGGCAGATCTGTTGATTTTTCAAACAACTTCAATAAGGTTTTACATACTGCTTCTACAAATTTATTTTTCTACCAACAGTGTGTAAGGGTTGCCTTTTTTCTACATTCTCACCAATACTTGCTATTATAATTTTTGTTGGATCTTCTAGATCTTGTTAATAAATGTTATAACAAGTTGGTATGTTTTGATGCAAAAAATTTTCAAAATACATGCATAGTTTTTTTCATAACATATGTTGTCCATGAGTATTTTTAAGTTTTATGTATTTATTTGAGAGGCAGAGAAAGGGAGAGGAAGAGGGGAGGAGGAGAGATTTTCCATATACTAGTTCACTCTCCAAATGCCTGAAACATCCAAGTCTTGGTGACACCAAAACCCGGAGCTGGGAACTCATCCAAGTCTCCCACATGCATACCAGGGAGCCAAGTACTTGGTCTATACCTGCTGCCTCCAAAGCATAGTAGCAGATAGCCTGATTGGAAATGAAGGTGGGACTCAAACCCAGGTGCTCCAGTAGGGGTTGCCAGTGCCCCAAATCGCAGCTTAACTCTGCCATAACACTTGCTCCTTCTATGAACTTTTTGGAGACCCCCTTATATATATTTGTATTTTTAACTCCTTAATTTTGCTTTTACATTGAAAAATTAACTTATCTTACATTTCTTCTTATTTTTCTTTTCAAAATAATCCATATGGTCTTCAATCTGGAAAACTTGAAAAATTATAACCATATAAAAGGTCTTCAAAGAGTTCATGAAAATTTACATTATCTTTTCATTTCTTTCTCCATGAACTTTTTGAAGCAGCATGTTTTAAATCAACTTTAAATTCATGTATATTTGATTTAGACACTACATTGAAATGAAACCTAATTAAGTGGGTTATTATTATTCTTTACAATTTTCTTGGTGACTATAAAGATAAAAATCCCATCAAATCAGTTTAAAACGTTAAAGCAAATATTTGTATTTAGGTAGAAAAATATTTTGATTTCCCTTTATAGATGATAAGAAAACTATAAAGTACATTTAATTTTCTTATCATCTTCTCTTTCTATGTATTATTGCTTTAAAATTCTTTTTAAATCTTCTCCATCACTGACTGGCATGTTGTAAACTTATGTTATGCTAGGCTCCCTGTTCCTCATTCCTTATGAAAATATCTTTTACCTATGTCTCATTCTCTCAGTAATACATAAGCTCATCCCCTAACTAGGTGATGACCTGATCTAAAAAAATTCTTACTAAAATATTTGGTAATAGTTTAGATTATTATCTGACTGAACATTTTCATTTTTACAGAGAATGTCTGGAATTGTTAAGTTTCAATCTTGTAGAATCGGTGGTCAGGAGACTCTTTGCTTGTATTGAATTAGTATAGATAACTTTCTTTAAATGTAAAACCAACTCCACACACTACAAAAATATGTCTGAACTCTATCACCTACTCTTGAAGAAGCATTTTACAAAAACGCAGCAATTTTTTCATGTCTTTTTTTGTAGGCTGGTGGAATGAAGGCAGGGACATTTGACCCTTATCCATCACATTCTGCTGACCCTTATACGGTGAAATTGGTAAAAGGGATTTCTGGCAAAGGTGGTAAGATTTTCCATCCACCAAGTGGACCAAAAAGCAGGCCGATTGAAAGTATAATGACTTTGAATGTCAAAAGGTAAGGAGAGTTGACAGTTAGTTCATAAACCAAGAAAAAATTATTTTGAACTTTTAGATTTTTCCAAGATAATATTCTTGTTTATATATATATATACATATACACACACATATATACATAAGTGCTGAATTTGTGTGACTTTACAAATCTCAGCCCCCTCAATATATTTGCCCCCAATGCAGAAATTCTTTTTCATCTCCTGAAGTTTCTAATTGAAAGAAGTTAATTTATTTATGCCAAACTATTCTGTTCATAATTTCTGAAGCAGATCAATAACACATTACTATGAATCATTTGGAGATGAGGTATTTGTAGTTCAATTTGCAGTACCTGTGAACATTGGCTGTTTCTCAATAATTGTGGGGAACCCTCAAGATGCTGGAGAGTTCTGTTTCTAACTTTGAAACATCCTTCTGTGAAAACAGGAAATATTCTGATTGAAAATGTGAAATGCCCCCATATGTATATATATTGTCAAAATATCTTAAAACTTCTATTTTGTCCAGGTTTTAAGCACTCTCAAAATTGATAATATTCTTTGGAATTTAGAATATGAACTTAGAAAAAAATCAGTCATTCTTTGTATCTGTATGTGTGTGCAAAATCATAAAGTGGAAGAATTCAGTTGATGCTTTTATCCATTGAAAGTCTGTAATGACATTAAATCAATCCACACATCTCTAACTCTGATGCAGTCACCCAGTAGATTAGGAAAAGGTGTGAAAGGCAGGCAAGGGAAGAGTCTTGAGAGGGCCCAGTTGTCCAGAGACTGAAATTACTCAGAGCTGAAGTGAGTGATAACCCATCCAGCACATACGTGGCTCTATGAAAGTGACTGCAAATGACGGGGGAGGAGGGCGGTTAAAAGGAGCACTGGAAAAGGAGCTTTGGTTTCCAGCCTGCTGGATACTTGGCCCAACTTGGCTAAATGTGAGCACATCTCAGCACATCTCAGCACCTCTGGATTCCCCTTGCTCCTCCCCGTAGGCTAGCAGTTACAGTGGGGAAAATTTGCACGTTTTCCCTCAAAACCCAGAGGGGAGGGGAGGTAACAAGCATCAGGTTGCCTCAACCCTGACTCCCCAGAGTCAGAACGGCTCTCTGGTGCCTCTTCCTAGAGAGATTTGTATTAGCAGAGCTCCAAATAAAGGAGATAGACACCATGATGCTTGGAGACATGCTGTCTTCTGTGGGTTGGTGACCAGGGATCTCAGAAACGAGGGACAATGAATGACACTGGAGTGTCCATTCCTCAGTCACCACTGCCCACCCGCCCCACCTTCCACAGCCTCCACCCCGCCATCTTGTCTCCTGCAGTGGCTGTTCAGATGGGCCACCGGAACATTCTCGTCTTGCCTCGACTTCCTTCTGCCCAGGATGCTCTCCTTGCTTTAGCCTTGAGGGTGGGTTTTCAGCTCCATGTAATGAATGGAGAACTCATGTCTTTGCCATGGCTCCCAGTTCACCCCTCACTGTGCTTGGTTTCCCCATATTTGCCATCGGGGTTGGACATGTGGCAGTTCTGTACCACCAGCCACCATGATGTGCCACTTTCTTAATATACAGATTTATGGGGGCCAGTGCTGCTGCGTAGTGAGTGAAACTGCTGTCTAGAGTGCTGGCATCCCATATAGACGCCAGTGCTAGTCCCAGCTGCTCCACTTCCAATCCAGCTCTCTGCTATGACCTGGGAAAGCAGAAGACGATGGCCCAAGTCCTTGGACACCTGCACCCACGTGGGAGACCCAGAAGAAGCTCCTGGTTCCTGACTATGGATTGGCTCAGCTCTGGCTGTTGTGGCCATCTGGGGAGTGAACTAGCAGATGGAAGACCTTTCTCTCTCTGCCTCTGCCTCTCTGTAGCTCTGCCTTTCAAATAAGTAAATAAGTAATAAATCTTTAAAAATATATACTAATTTATTTATTTAGGTGAAATGCAAAGAGAGGGAGAGAGGGAGAGGGGAGGGAGGGAGGGAGAGAGAGAGAGAGAGAGAAAGAGAGAGAGAGAACATCTTATTTTCCATCTGCTTGTTTACTCTCCAAATGAGTACAACAGCCAGCAGGCCTGGGCTCATCCAAAGCCAAGAGCCTAGAACTCCATTCCAGTCTCCTACATGGGTATCAAGGGCCCAAACACTTGGGCCATCTTCTGCTGCCTTCCCAGGCACATTAGTAAAGTTGGATTGGGAGCAGAATAGCTATGACACAAACTGGAACTCCATTATGGGATGCAGGCATTGCAAGTGGTAGCCCATCCTGCTGCAGTGCAATGCTGGCCCCATGTACCCACTTTAATGCTGTCTTCCTGTTATTATTTTCAGGCACCCTTTGTTTTTTAAAGATTTATTTATTTATTTATTTGAAAGTCAGATTACACAGAGAGAAGGAGAGGCAGAGAGGAGAGAGAGAGAGAGGTCTTTCCATCTGCTGGTTCACTCCCCAGTTGGCTGCAACAATCGGAGCTGTGTCAATCTGAAGCCAGGAGCCAGGAGCTTCCTCTGGGTTTCCCATGTGGGCGCAGGGGCCCAAGCACTTGGGCCATCCTCCACCACTTTCCCAGGCCACAGCAGAGAGCTGGATTGGAAATGGAGCAGGGGGCCGTCGCTATGGCATAGTGGGTGAAGCCGCTGCCTGCAGTGCCGGCATCCCATATGGGCACCGGTTCGAGTCCCAGCTGCTCCACTTCTGATCCAGCTCTTTACTATGACATGAGAGAGCAGTAGATGTTGGCCCAAGTTCTTGGGCCCTTGTGCCCGCATCGGAGACCTGAAAGAAGCTCCTGACTCCTTGGCTTAGGATCTATGCAGCTCCAGCTTTTGCTTTGGTGTGATGGAACGAGAAGGCCATGCCAAGATGGCTGCTGGCAAGCCAGCATCAGTTACTCAGGAATGGCTTTGAAACCCACCTGGCAACAGAGCCTGCCTGGCAACAGGCTGTGATTGGATGGCTTCGGAGCCTGCCTGGCAACAGGCTGTGATTGGTTAGGGCATAGACCACCCCTTGACTAGATTGGCTGTCTTGGCTATATAAGATGTTGTACCAACTGAAATAAACGAGTCTGCGGGCTGCTCGCCTCTGCCCGCTTTCGCCCGACTCCTGGGGTCTGTGTGGTGACTCCGTGCCTCTTGGCCCCACCATGTTCCTCCTCTCAGGAATGAATCCTCTCAGGAACAAATCAACAGCAACACTTTGGGGAGTGAACCAGTGGATGGAAGACATTCTCTCTTTCTTTCTCTCTGCCTCTGCCTCGCTGTAACTCTGCCTTTCAAATAAATAAATAAATCTTAAAACAAATAAATTTAAAAACAAAAAATCTCTAATAGTTATGAAACCACAGAAGTTATGAAAAGAAGTTAAATGATGCAACTAATACAAAATTATTGACTTATGGAATGCTATTATGAGTGAAGTAGTGTAGGTGAAGCGACTAATTCTCATTTAATGTAATAATTAATTAATCAAGATTTCCAAGTGTACTATGTATTGCTGATTTTTTATGTGGATTAAAAAAGTAGGTTTTGGAAATGTATTTTGAATTATGTCAAACTAACCTTCATTTTAAAAAGCTAACATTGATGACAGCATAACTGACTTATATGTATTTTATCTGTCCTTTATAGCACTTTGGTGAAGTAAAGAAAGTTTATTTTGATGCAGCAAAATTCAAATTTTCTGAAAGAACTGATGTAGGCCTCTGGGCTTTCTTATATAGCCAAGTGATTTCCCCTAGACTTTGGGATAAATTCATGTCATTTAAACCACGGTTGTAGCAATGATTTTCTTTGTAGACTAGTTGGTAGAGTGCTAGACCTGGAAACAAGAAGATAGAGAACTTTTTTCCCCTGTGTCCATTGACCTAATGCTTTGGTGAGCCACCTAGCAGTAATCTACCCAACTTTATCCAATAGCTCAGCCAGTAAAATTGGAATTTTTCTCACTGCACTCATCCTCAAATACATGAAATAGTGGCAGGGGGGAGTGAGAGGAGGCAGTTCAAAAATTTTCTCTGTGTTCTTTTCTGTCCAGAGCACAAACCTGAGAAAGTTCTGAGTATATATCTATATATATATATATATATATATATATGTATATTTGGACCAGGGAAACCAGAGTAAGTTATTGTTCTTTTGAAAAACCACAAGTTTATCTTCTGTTTAAGATTTTTTTTTCTTAATTTTAGAGGTAGAGATAGAGAGAGCGAGCTGCTATCTGCTGTTTCACCCTCCTAATGCCTGCAATGGCCAAGGTTGTGTTGGCTCAAAGCCGGGATTTGGGAAGTCAATCCAGGTCTTCCAACATGGGTGGCTGGGGCCAGTTACTGGAGCCATCACCACTGCCACCCTCCCAGGGTCTGCCTCATCAACAAGCTGGGGTCTGAAGCAGAAGCAGTCTGAAACCCAGGCACTCTGATGTGGAACACAGGCTAATTCACCAGTTTTAACCACTAGGCCAAATGCACACCCCTGTTTAATAAATTTTTTATTGAAAATTTTCTTTTCATATTATAACAAATATTTTCCTAAATCAGGTTTTAGCTTCTTTTACCTTAACTTCAGAACACGCAAACCTCTACATAGTAGTATTTGAAACTGATTCCATAAAATCATAGCATTTTCTCAGTATTTCTAACTTAAAATAAGAAGGTAAGTTGGTGAGAAAATTTTGTTTTTGTTAATATGTTGTACAATTGTTTTAAATCTTTTAGTGCGAAATTTTTTATGAGAATGTACAGATATGTTACTTGAACATATAAACTTAAATATGCATTTATTTTCTTATTTTAGGGCACTAAATTCGAAGAACTACAAGAGTGCCTCAGTACAGTCCTATTAGCAACTGGAAGATGAGTAGCTTTCTAGATATTAGTTACTATCAATTCATTATCAAGACTAAATATGTGGAAAAATGTAAGATGTTGTGGAAAAGACTGCTCAAGTATTTAAAAGAAGTTGAAAGCTCCAAATCTAACAGTCTTATTTTACTACTACTAGTTTGTTAATAAATAGTATTTGCTAATTATTTGATGTGTGAGTGCTACTTTGGTTTTAGATTCATGTTTTTAGAAATTTTATAAAATCTTGAAGTGTACTTGATTGCTTGAAAGCTTTTACTCCTAATGTTAAAAAAAAGTGAGGGTTTGGTGCTGAGGCTGGAGCGGTAGAAAACACACAGTAATTTCTTAACTTACTCTTCCTTCTCAGGGGTACCTGAAGGTTGGACTGATTGATGGCTACTCAAGTGTCAAAGCCTTTAAAGCATTGTTAACATCAAAGACAAATATTCAATCCATTTATGTTGCATAGGTTCATACTCAGGCATGTTATGTAGTGAAGTGAATGTTTTCAGCTTCTTTATTTATGCCTTCTATTTATGGCTTTGTAAAGCATAGGATTATTTAGTCAGTGGCAACCCCAAAATGAGTTGCTGGGGAGAGAGAATAGAATGTGCTTGTATCCAAAGCTCCTTCTCCCAGAGCATCCTACCCAGGTTTTATCCACTAGTTCCCAAGTTATTTCTGTCCTTTTAAAAATATCTATTTGTAAAAGACCTAATATTACTGTGGTTCAAAATTAGATTTTTATCAATAGTCCTCATTCAATAGGGGAAGAAGGTGGTGGTGTTTGTATTTTAAAAAGAAAATTTAAGTCCATACTGCCGAAAGCAATTTATAGAGTCAATACAATCCCCAGAAAAATCTCAAGGACATTCTGCACAACTGTAGAAAAAACAGTTCTAAAATTCATGTGGAGGGTGAACCAACGGCAAAAAGGAAGACCTTTCTCTCTGTCTCTCTCTCTCTCACTATCCACTCTGTCAAAAAATAATAATAATAAAAAAATTCATGTGGAAATACAAAAGACCCTGAATAGACAAAGCAATCTTAATAAAAAACAAAGCCGGAGGCGTCGCAATACCACGTTCCAGACATTTTATAGGGCTATGATGGTCAAAACAGCATCACACTGCATAAAAATAGGCATGCAGACCAGTGGAACTGAATAGAAGCCCCAGAGATAAACCCATGCATCCACAACCAATTTTTGACAAATGAGCTAAAATCATTCCCTGGAGAAAGGACAGTTTCTTCATCAAATGTTATCGAAATAAATGTGTTTCCACTTGTGGAAGTTTGGAACAAGATCCCAGCCTTACACCCTAGACAAATATTAACTCAAGATGGATCAAGGATATAAAATTAAGACCTGGAACTATCAAACTACTAGAGGAAAACATAGGGGAAATGCTGCAGTACATTGGTCTAGGCAAAGACTTTTTGGGTAAGACCCAAAATCAGAGGCAATAAAAGCAAAAATAGGCAAATGTGACTGTATCAAGCTAAGATGCTTCTACACAGCAAACAATGAACAAAGTGAAGAGACAACCAACAGAATGGGAGTAAATATTTTCAAGTTACGCATCTGATAAAGGATTAATATCCAGAATATATAAGGAGCTCAAGAAACTCAACAACAATGAAATCCAGTTAAGAAATGGACAAATGATATGAATAGACATTTTTTCAAAGGAAGAAATACATATGGGCAATGGACATATGAAAAAATGCACACAAACACTAGCCATCAGAGAAGTAAATAAAAGCCACAATGAGGACTCATTTCACTTCAGTTAAAATGAAGCAATGAAATTGATAAAACTCTAGCAAAGGAGACCAATATTAGAAATTAAAGAGTATGTAATCACAGGTCCTCTGGTCATTAAAAAGATAAGGAACATTATGAACAACTTTATTCCAGTATATTTGAGAATTTATATGAAATGTGCAGATTCTTCAAAACACAAATCATCAAAACTGACGTAAGAAAATATAGAAAACCTGAATAGTTCTGTATTTATGAACCAATTTTCTTTTGCAATTTAAGACCTTCTAATTCAGAAAACTCTAGGCCCTTGGGCAAATTCTATTACATATTTAAGGAAGAAATAGTACCAAGCCTATGTAAGTTCTTTCAGAAAACAGAGGTATGAACACTTTTCGCCATGTTTTATGAGGCTAGGAATTTCCTGGTATTGAAACCCGACTAAGACATTAAGGGAAAATTCAGACTAGTATCTTTCTGAATATTGAAGCAGAAATCCTTAATAAGATAGTATCAAAATGAATCGAGGTATATATACTCAAAGAATAGCACAACACAACTATCCCAGAAATGCAGGATGGTATAATGGACCCAGAATTACTATAATTTACTATATTAATATAAAAAACACATGAACACCTAAATAAATGCAGAAGTATTTGACAAGGAATTGTATAACAAGTAATTTTGGAGGAAAGAGATGAGGTCACCCTCTGAAGCAAAGGGCAGGTTTACCTACAGCCTTGAACAACAGAGATACTTTCTCTTTAGAACCTTGGCAGGCAAACATACTGCCCAGCATAAAAACCATAACATGTCCATCCAGAACAAAGGGCAGGCATGTTTACTGCACATAATAGAATATTTGAATTCCCTGAACAATCCCTTGTGTAGCCTTCTTCATGTTGCCTACAGGAATTAAGGCGGAGAACTGATGAAAAATGCTAATACTCTGGCTACTGCTATTATTAATAAGAAACTGTTCTTTACCTTTACCTGTCTCATTTCTTTCACTAAAATTCATGAAACTGTGCAAGTTACCAAATTAGCTAACTAGTTGGCCAAAACCTCAGATTCTTCAGTTTTTGACAATATAAAAATATATACCTAATTCTGGTTTCTAATTTTAAAATCTAATCTACTCTAGTCAATTACAAATTGTAATCATATGTAAATGTGACTTTAAAATTATTTTGTGGGGAGAGGGCATTGTGGCATGGTGCGTTAAGTCACCGCTTGGGACATCTGTAACTCAGTGTCTATTTCAAGTCCTTGTACCTCTGCTTTTAATAGAGCTTCCTACTAATGCATCCTGGGAGGTGCAGAGATGGCTGCCTTTCAGGCAGAAGATGGCTCAAATGCTCGAACCCTTGCCAACCGGGTAAAGACCTTGATGTGGCTCCTGGTTCCTGGCTTCAGTATGCCCCAGCCATGGCTGTTGTGGCATTTGGACAGGGAACAAGCATATGGAAGAACCCTCTTACTGTCACTCTGCCTTTCAAATAGATGACAACAAATAAACTTAAAAATATTTTGTGTGGAAAAAAATACTTGGACAAAGTTTTTTGAAACATTGATTTTGGACGTTTATTTACATATCTTGGATGGAAGCAATTGATAGAGTTTACTTGGAATTCCTGGAAAAGAATAATTTTTTAAAAGGTGAGAATGCTAACATACTTAAGAAAAATAACTTAAAAACCCCTGCTCCCTGCCAAAGGTGCCTTACATATATATGTAATGTGAATTCTATGATTTTAATCTAAACAGCAAAATAGCTAAATAGTTCTACTATATAATGAATGGAATACAAATTTTATAAAACTAAATATCTTAGCCGGCGCCACGGCTCAACAGGCTAATCCTCTGCCTTGCGGCGCCAGCACACCGAGTTCTAGTCCCGGTCGGGGCGCCAGATTCTTTCCCGGTTGCCCCTCTTCCAGGCAAGCTCTCTGCTGTGGCCCGGGAAGGCAGTGGAGGATGGCCCAAGTGCTTGGGCCCTGCACCCCATGGGAGAGCAGAAGCACCTGGCTCCTGGCTTCGGATCAGCGCAGTGCGCCAGCCAAAGTGCGCTGGCCGCGGCGGCCATTGGAGGGTGAACCAGCGTCAAAGGAAGACCTTTCTCTCTGTCTCTCTCTCTCTCTCTCTCACTGTCCACTCTGCCTGTCAAAAAATAAAAAAAAAATTTAAAAAACCCTAAATATCTTACTTAATGTTTGCTTCTTCTGTATTCTGTCTGGTACCCAATAACACAAAAGAATCTTGAACATATTGCTACTGATCCACCACAACATACAAACCTTTCACATCAGGAGGTAAAGGCCTACTTCTAGGACTAGAAGTGTCTTCATAAGTATCATAGTTGTCAAAATGGAATTTCTCTCTTCTTGAGATGTAAGCTGATTTTGATGGGTCATTCTGCTTAGCACAGATTTTATCACTTAAACTTAAATACTCTCGCTGAAGATTCCGTTTCTCAAATTCCAAGGTGTCTCTTTCATTTTCTATGCTTCTTACATAGTTTTCTAAAAGTATTTTATCTTCAGTAAGCCTACTGATACTGTTTTCAAATTTCAGATTTTCTTGACTATGTTTCTTTAGTTCTTCTTTTAGAATCTGATTATCTGTCTTAATTTCCATTACCATTTTTGATAACATTTCACATTCCTTGCCAATTTCTGATAAGCTATTCTTATATATACTTGCTTCTGATTTTGCATTTTTAATTTCTTTCAGAAAATTCTCTTCTGCAGTAGATTGGTAGGCCTGAATATTCTCAATTTCTCTTTCCATCATTTTTCTAGCAGCAGTAGATTCTTGTAGTGCTGTTTCAAGATCTAGTTTTTCATTTTTCACTGTTTCTATTATTTGTAAAAGTGTCTCTTGTTCAGTTTTTGCCAATCTTTCTTTCTCTCTTAGCTGCATGATCTCTAGTTTATTTTCTTTCATTTCATTTTCAAGTGAGCTTTTTTCCTTTAGAAGCTGGAATGTTTTCTTCTCTAACATTTCTTTCTCCTCTTGTTTCAATAGAATATTTGTTTTCATTGCTTCCATTTCTATATTCATTCGATTATTTTCATTATTGATAATGGCCATATCATTTTGAGTTTTATGATCCTTACTTTTTAGTTGATCCAATGCGTCCATCATTTGTTGCTTCTCTATAGAAAGTTGACTATTTTTTTCCTCTAGAGTTTTATTTTGGCCTTGAAGAACATTATATCTACTAATTATTTTTTTAAATTCTTTAAGACATTCTTTGCCATCATCTTCTGCTTTAATTAACTTGGACTGAATGGTACTGTTTTCTTCAACTAAATTCTTAATTTGATTTTCATAAGTTTCAACTTTCTGTATCAGAGATTGCATGGTAATGACTAGAGGTTTAATTTTGGTCTTAAGGGTTAGATTTTCATTCTCCAGTTCGGTTACTTTTTTCTGTATCTGCATAGATTCTTTTAGGTAATTCTGTAAGTATTGAATTTTTGCAACACATTGGTCAGTAACGGAATTGATTTTGGATGTCTTCTCATTTTCAAATATTATTGATCCTTGTTGTACTACAAATGGTTGCCTCTGTTTGTCTTTCATTTCATGTTTCATTTGGTCAAGGAAAGACAGTGTATGTCTAGGAACTCTGGAATGGAATTTTAAATCTGTAATAGCAGTAATGGGAATTTCTTTATTGTTCTTCTCACTCTTCTTTCCTCTGTGTATTTCACTTTTAGATAATTTTTTGCATTTCCTACAAAAATTCAAGTGGAGTTTTGACACTGTTTCCCTGAATGGGAGTAATCTGTTGACTACTGCCTCTAATTCTGAAATTCTCTTTGATTTTATATCTTCATTTAAATTACCTTCCATGTTTTCTTCCTTAATAAAGTTAGTTCTTTCCTTGTGTATGGGGGACAGGTCATATTTACCACTACTTTGAATATTTGTATCAGTTTTTAAAATTTGAAGTTCATTTGTAAGTGCTAGTTCCCTATCATGTGACTTTTGAAGCTCTTCCTTCATTTGTTTGATAGAGTGGCAAATATCATCTAAATTTGCACAAAATCCATGGTTGAGAAAAGGCACAGTAATTGTGGATTTATCCAGAATTCCTGGGTCAGCTTGAGATGTCACATGTTGAGGCACAGAAGGTAGAAAGCTATAAAAGTTGTTATGATTTTTCAACATGTCAGAATTTTCTGAAGGATTCATAATTATGTTTGAAGCTGAATTATCTTTTGAAGTTCTCAGAGTTAATATATCCTTGGGATGTATCTGGGTTGGAACATTTATACATTGAGAGAGACTGTTAACACTGTCGCTGCTGAATTTTTCTTCCTTTGAATGAAGAGTTCTGAAATCCTCAAAATGATGGATTTTCTCCACAGAAGTGACTTCTTGCTTCTCTTTAGGCTAGTAAAAATGAAAAGCCCAGTTTAAGTGTACTATCATTTTTTTTTAATTTTATTTTTTATTTATTTTTTATTTTTTTTGACAGGTAGAGTGGACAGTGAGAGAAAGAGACAGTGAGAAAGGTCTTTCTTTTGCCGTTGGTTCTCCCTCCAATGGCTGCCGCGGCCGGCGCGCTGTGGCCGGCACACCGAGCTGATCCGATGGCAGGAGCCAGGTACTTATCCTGGTCTCCCATGGGGTGCAGGGCCCAAGCACTTGGGCCATCCTCCACTGCACTCCCTGGCCACAGCAGAGAGCTGGCCTGGAAGAGGGGCAACCGGGACAGAATCCGGCACCCCAACCGGGACTAGAACCCGGTGTGCCGGCGCCGCAAGGCAGAGGATTAGCCTAGTGAGCCGCGGTGCTGGCCTAAGTGTACTATCATTTGCCAAATGAACAAGAAAGTAAGATCATATTTAGTAGAGGATTTATTTAGACAATCCAAACAAGAATGTTATTCATTTCTATAGGAAAGAAGCCTAACAAATAAGATTCATTTTCTCTAACAGTTGTTTTGTGATGGGTAATTCTGGTCTTCACAATTTGCTTCAAATCTGATTGACTTCCTTACAGGGTGAAATACATGGGCCAACACCTCAATTTAAGAAACAGCAATTTAGCATCCTTTGACAGATGGGGAAGAAAGGAATGACAGATCAGATGGGAGTTTAAAGAAACTGAGTGTTTCTACTCTGGTCTAGTATTTGTCAATCTGAGTTTGCATTCCTAGTTTCAGATTTTAAGGTTGTGATTATCCTGGACACATGAATTCTAATTAGTGTGGAACCCCTGAGGGTATCACTGGTTTGGAGCTTTTATGAGGAATTCACTCAGGGTATAGGCCACTCCTAAGTGGACAGGTAGGTTGTGAAAACTCCCTTGCAGGGCAGGCCTTTGGCACAGTGGTTAAGAGCCCTTTTGGGATGTCCACATCCCATATCAGCATGCCTGTTTTCAAATCCTGTCTCCACTTCTGATTCCGCTTCTTGCTAATGCACATGCTGGGAGGAAGCAAGGATGACCTAAGGAATTGGGTTTTTGCCACCCAGGTGGGTTACCTGGATGGAGCTTCAAGCTCCTGCTTTTGGCCTGGACCAGGCCTTGCTGTTGCAGGCAATTGGAGAGTGAGCCAGCAGATGGGAAATCTCTCCCTCTGTATCTCTCTCTCTCTCTCTCTCTCTCTCTCTCTCTCTTTACAGATAGAGTTAGACAGTGAGAGAGAGAGAGAGAGGGAGAGAGAAAGGTCTTCCTTCCTTTGGTTCACCCCCCAAATGGCTGCCATGGCTGGCGCTCTACCGATCTGAAGCCAGGAGCCAGGTGCTTCTTCCTGGTCTCCCATGCGGATGCAGGGGCCCAAGGGCCATTCTCCACCACCCTCCCAGGCCACAGCAGAGAGCTGGACTGGAAGAGGAGCAACCGGGACTAGAACCCAACACCCACATGGGATGCCAGCGCCACAGGTGGAGGATTAACCAAGTGAGCCACAGCGCGGCCCCTCCCTCTTTATCTTTGCCCTTGTCTCTCTTCTCCCTCTTTGCCTTTCAAATAAATAATAAATAAAAATAAAAATTTTATTTTTTATTTTATTTATTATTTTTAAAATAATAATTATTTTTAATAATAAATAAAAATAAAAATAATAAATTTAAATAAAAATTTAAAAACTAGCTGTACTGAGTTTGAATTTACTTGGGGATCTCTGGGTGTTTGTACTAGATGTCCTGCATGGATTCCCTTAAGAGGAATGGCAAAATTAGAGAAATGTGGGGATAAACGCACATCTTTCAAGGTTTTCAGGACAGGAATTTCCTTATTTTCACCTCTGTCAGCCCATTCTTCCTGTGAAGGAGAGAAAGTAAATGCTGATGATAAACTGGTTATAGTAACATTTTTGAAGTTAGAAATGTGTGGAGAATAACATACCAAATCCTTTTCATTGTGTGTGCTGAATGCTAGATTTTTTTCTGAGCCAAACTGTGGGTTTTCTACTTCAATAATACTTTTGTTCAATATTTCGCTGATTTCAGATTGTACCTTTAAAAGATGAATTGAAATTGTTAGAATTTGATTTTAGAATTATAAACTCACTAATGTTCAGAAATAATATATAATTTTAAAGATACCTTTAGATTTACCTTTAAATTTAATTATTTCCCAGCATATAGAATATGTATTACAAAAATCACTATCTCTAAAGGGATCTTTAAGAAAGTTATGCCTTTATTCTACAATTATAATAACAGAAAGACTTAAACAACATTTATGAGCTATATTCAAATCATTTGAGACATCTGATTTTGCATTGTTGACTAAGTCAGAGATCTTTGATTTCTATCCTCAGAACAGTATCAATTCTATGAGCACCCTCAGGAAGTATGTGTCTTCTATACCACTTTTCTGAAGTAACTTTTAGGGCAAGAATACTGGGACAGTGATTATGTGTTGTTGTGGACACCCCTTATCTATACCGTATCCTTCTAGTTATACTACTACTTATTTCTTCTGGGTAAAGTCCCTGTGGTTTTGATGATACTGATTCCAGCTGTAGTCCAAGGATGGGCATGTGACTCAGCTCTAACTCATCGGCAGCTGCCTGCCTCTGGTTGGTGACAGTTCCAAGCACTGCTTATCATGTGATCTCAGGCAATCCCAATCAGGCCAAGAACCTTAATATAAACTAGTAAGAGCAAAGCATGGTCTGCTCTGATTCTGACTTGAATCTGGAGGGATAAAGGCCTGTGGGTTCTAGCAGCCTTTTTGCCACCATATGAAGTCTGGAAAGCAGAGCCAAGACAGGACATGAGACTTGTTCCTGACAGGAATCCTGGTGGCATGGATTAAGCCATCCTGAAGTGAGCTCTTTCTAAAAGATCCACATGAGCTACTGAAGTGCATTTCTTCCCTAGGACAGTTTGACTTAGATTTTGTATGACTTATAATGAGTCTCTATTTGTAGACCATACATAGGTAGCACTTTAAGTGTGCATTTAAAAAGATCAGTGAGCGATATTTCTTTTTGGCTTATATCCAAAACATGTATAACCCAGAAAACAAATTTTGAACCTAGAATATGTTCTGACCTCTGTTATATTAAATTGCATTTTAATGCATCAATTTTATAATGGTTATTAGTTTTGATGATGGGATGGTACCTCCTTAAAAATTGAGTATTCCCTAAATATAAATCAGAAGGGGCTGGCATTGTGGCACAGTGGGTTAAGCTGCCTTCTGAGACACCGTAACCCTAACCCTAACCCTAACCCTAACCCTAACCCTAACCCTAACCCTAACCCTATTCCATATGAGTCCCAGTATCTGGCTATTCCACTTCTGATCCAGCTTCCTGCTAATGTGCCTGGAAAATAGTGGAAGATTGCACAAGTTCTTGGGCCCCTGCCACACATGTAGGAGACCCAGATGGAGTTCCTGGCTCTTGCTTTCAGCCTGGCCCAGCCATGGCCATTGCATTCATCTGGGGAGTGAACCAATAGTTGGAAGATCTCTACCTCTCTGTAACCCTGCCTTTCAAATAAATAAATAAATAAATATTTTTTAAAAAATTAGAAGAAGCATACCATGCTGACATTCTGCAAAGTCTGCATTCGCAGAGCCTGAAATGACTCCAACTGATGCTGAAGGACCTAGGGCAAACCAAGTATGAAATCGAACATTTTTAGGTAGATGAACGTGTTCTTGAATTTAAGACACACAGAGAGACACACAGAGAGAGAGAGAGAGAGAGAGACAGACAGACAGACAGAGAGTTAGTTTACATCTCCCAAAGTTGCTTCTTACCAAAAAGGATCCCAAGAGGGCCAGGCGACTTACATTCTGTCATTTTGCAAGCCCTCCAATGCACTTTCAGAAGATGTTTGTGAGGATAAAGTGGGAGAACTCAGATATATTTAGGATGTATTTATTCTGAAAAAGATCAGCCTTTAGAAAGGAATTTGGAGCAAATATATTTAAAAAAAATACCTACTTTCAATGCTGATTGTGGTTGGATTTGATTTTCTGACTCTGATAAGCAGCCATATTCTAAAAAGCAAAATTGAAAAACCATGTGATTTCATTCTTAAATTTTATATCTTGACAGCTGTAATAGAAAGCAGCGTCTATTAGACAGATATTGGGAACATCTGATATACACTCCTTGCTAGTCACAAAACTTATTATTCTTCCTTGAGTTAGAATACCTACTTGAGGATTATAATAGTGTTTACTTGTAAAATGAACCACTAAGCTAACAATACCAAATTTGGAACTCTCCTAAATTCAAATATCTTTTTTTGTTTGCTTCTTGTATATAGGCTACATCTTCTTTTCCTTAAGAAAAGGTAACAGTCATTGATATGCTTTCTGATGTGTTTGATAAGAGTGATAAAATTAAGCTTAAAAAATAAAAAAAGAAAAGTTAACAGTCCTCATGTTATGGGAGACCCTTCACAAGGTATCATATAGGCCTCAGTTTTTAGGAACTTGCCTGTGATGTTTGTGTCCTTGTCATGGCAAACAAGTTGGATTGGCCAGCGCCGCAGCTCACTAGGCTAATCCTCCACCTGCGGCGCCGGCACCCAGGGTTCTAGTCCTGGTTGGGGCGCTGGTTCTGTCCCAGTTGCTCTTCTTCCAGGCCAGCTCTCTGCTGTGGCCCAGGAAGACAGTGGAGGATGGCCCAGGTTCTTGGGCCCTGCACCCGCATGGGAGACCAGGAGGAAGCACTTGGCTCCTGGCTTCGGATCGGTGCAGTGCGCTGGCCACAGCGTGCCGGCTGTAGTGGCCACTTGGGGGGGTGAACCAACGGAAAAAAAAAAGGAAGACCTTTCTGTCTGTCTCTCTCTTTCACTAACTCTGCCTGTCCAAAAAACCAACCAAACAAACAAAACAAAAAACAAAAAACAAACAAACAAAAAACAATAAAAACAAAAACCAAGTTGGATTAATAGAGCATGACTTTTACCTTGCTCTTAAAAAGTCCATACGTTCCTGCTGTTGGGAAAGGCAGCCACATGTGCACAGCCCTTCAGCCCTGGCTTGGCCACATGAGAATGGGATGCAGGCCATGGACACTTTCTTCCTGACAGAGAGATGATTGCAGCCTGCCCTGAACTTAAGAATTACCTCGTGTGCCCCTTTGTTTTGCGCAGCATGTGCATCGTATGATGCCTAGGCAACCCCTACTATCTGTCTCCTGAAGACAGAGGACAGAGTTATTCTGCTTCAGCACCTGGGTGTGTTGGCTGGCACACTGCCCTGCGTTGGCTTCCAGGAGGGACCTGTTGGCCCTGAGGGACTGATGACCACTGCTGAGGCAGACCTTGATGTGTCTTTTTGCCTTGTGGCTAGAGCGGTGCTCTATCCAGTGTTTAACTATATGATGTCTTCCTTGGTGACTCTGAAACCAAGACTCGGTGAGTGGAAGTGCTTGGAGCTCTCTCCAGGATGGACAGCAGATGGCACAGGCTCACTACCGTTCCAGGAGATAGATTACAGATCTGCCACAGGGGAGACACTTTACAGTGTTGGTGAATTTCCTGACGTACATCCCTCTGTGTCCAAATGTTAGACTACCTGCTTTCTCTGTACATTTTATATTAGAGGATTTCATAAACTGTCCGAATCTGAATGAAATGAGAGATGGGATTGGATGTTCCCTCAGGCTGACAATTTCTGCCCCCACAGGAGGTTTTAAGAGAGGTCCACAAATCCTCTCCTGTGGCTTGGAAGCCTGCCAGCACTGCTTCAGCGTCAGCTGGGAATCCCACCTTTGGTGAGAGGGCTGGGAGGGAAACTGAGTCCCTGAGACTCTGTGGGGAAGGAGCTGAGCAGAGGAAATTGCCAAGTCCTGAAGCAGAACATGTTGTGTGTGTTTAAGAACAGAAAGCAGGTCAGCATGGCTGCAGCTTAAGGACCCACGGGGGCACAGGCTGAGAAGATGCTGGAGCAGGAGACGGGGCTAGATTGTGAAGGGCCTCGCAGGCCAAGCAGAGGGGTTTGGCTTTTAAGTGAAACTTTCGGGGGTTTCAATGGTGGGAATGATTCAAGTCTGATTGGAAAAGTTCACAGATTACATGATAATTGATTGTAAGGGGGGGAGATTACCAGGTTATTGCAATAATCCAAGTGAGATGAAGATATTTTGGAGTAGAACAATAATCAAGGAGATGGAGAAAAGTAGGTGAATTTGGGATTTGTTTTGGAGATAAAGCCAACTGTACTGTTAGACGTTAGATGGGCCTGGATGAGAGGAATGCAGGATGACTCTGGTTTTTGATGAGAGCAGATGGATGAATGATATCACTTACTGAAATTGAAAATGGGATAGAAACATAGGAGAAAAGCCGCTTTTAGATGTTAAGCTTGTCTGTTAGATCTCCAAGGACTGATATCAAAAGCCAGATGGATATACCAGTCTGTGGTCCCCAGGAGTGACAAGGAGTTCTTCATTGGGCATTGTGGATGTCACTGCTGGCCTAGAGATGGGCAGTGCTTGTGAAGTGACATCACAGAAACCCCAGTGGCGTGGCTCAAGGGGAGAGTGGAATGTGAAGACTCGGCATTGAGGATGGTCCACTCCTTCTAGTTTTACTGTGGAAGGGACAGGATACACACAGGGATATGGTGCATTTTGGAACAGATGCGAAAATCAAGATTTCTTTTTTTTTTTTTTTTTAACCATGGAAGAGTAACAAGCGTGTCACTGCTGGAATAATACAGCGAGATAAAAGAACCATAAAGGGAGAGAAAGGTTAATTCTGGAGACTGAGGGAGGCTGACTGCAGGAGCTGAGTGCTGGGGAATTCCAGGGCGACAGAATCTGGGGGAGCCGACCGTTGTTTAGGGATATGCAAATGCAAGGATGATGGAGTTTCGTTCTGAGTGCTTCTGTGTTTTTCACAGTGCATGAGATCATGGCAGGAGTCGGGAGGTGGTGAAGAAGAGGCACTGGAGATGCGAGAGGACCAAGAGGAGTGGAGTAACTTGGAGAGCACTGGAAAAGACATTTGCTAGAAGCTCTCGGTGCTTATTTCAGAGTTGGGATGACTCAGAAGTCAGCCTTTTTCTCCAGCAATACCCACATGATTCAGTGCAGGCAGAGAACAGGCCTGGAGCTGGGTTCATCTATTTTTAAAAGCTATTAAAATAACTTGTTTTCCTGATGAGTTTCAGAAGCATTGGCTGCTACTTTCCCCCAAAGGATTGGTAATTTTTAAATCCAGCAATATTTAAAGAGCCACATGGAACTATGTGGAGGGAAATTATCAAAGAATTGCAGGAGACCTAGCACAATCACTCTCAGCTACACGTTCGACACTGGGAGGCACACAGACCCAGTGGAGGAGACAGTCCCAACCCTCAACAAGCTTACAGTCTATCAGGAATGTAAAAAAGAGCATTCCTATTACAGTCCACTGAAATTCTCCAGCTGTTTCATAGTTAAGTATTAAAAGCAGAAAAACAAGACAATTATCAACAGGATGACTTGTGAGATAATTAAAGATAAGGGGAGTTTATTCTGAAGCCTGCTTAAAGTTATGTCATAGTCAACGTATCTGGAAAGTATTAAGGGCATACCCAGAGCTAATGGAACCAGAACAAATTTAAAAATGCAACATGGGATGATTCTGTATAGGATGTCCCTCTGAAGATTGGCTCAAATACTGAGATCACTACAAAAATTCAAGTTCATTTCTAGAAATTACTGATTCACAAAACCTTGTGCCCAAGGCGCTGTCATGGTCAGCAGAAGTGTGAGCCGTGGGGTCAGGCTGCCTGGGTTTGAACCCTGGCTTTCACACACCTCTCTTTGAGGGCTAACTCTGGTCAAATGTCTAGTTTGTAGGTAGAGCTCTTCGGCATGGTACATGGTATACACTAAATGCTTGGGAAACATTTACTTGAATCATTATCGCAGAGGCAATTTGATGATGGCTTGGTTAATGGGAAGGAAGGCTGCTCAGGACTCCCCAGTGCTTCCAGGGTTGCTCAGAATATGACCCCATGCCCTTACATGGAACTGCAAAGCCCCCTGCCCAGTCTCCCCTTACCCAGTCTGCTGCATTCACAACAGCTCTTCCTGAAACAGGACAGCTCCCACACCCCAGGGCTGTGCGTTTGTGTTGGAAATGTGCACTGATTTCTCCTTTACCTCATTCTTGGTGCAGATGTGACCTGCTGAGTGAGCGCTTCTCCTACCACCCTGCTGAAAATTGCACACTCCCTCCCTGACTCTGACAGCCATCTGCTACTCTCCCCCTCTCTGCCTTACTTTTCTCCATAGGATTTGCTCCCAGCTCACACACAGCATCCTTTGTCTGTCCCTACAGCAAGAACGTTAGCTTCACGTGGACAGGGATTGTGGAATGCCAGCACCTAAAACAGCACTTGATACATAGCCAGTGCTAAAAAATATGTGTACAATAGATGTTCACATGTGTGATGGATGTATGCATGAAAGCTTGGGTAGATCAGGGGTGCTACGTAAAACATGCTGGTCACCCTGAAGTTCAAAAGTATCCCGCACAAAAAAAAAAAAAAACCCTTTCCAATCAATCAAGGCTTAATGGGGGTTAATTAATTACTGTTCTAAACTCAAAGACCTTAGGAATATTATACAACTCTTGTAACAGCATTATTTATGCTAATCAGGATGATATCCTGTTGGTCAGTATTCTAGGAATGGAGATGTAATGAGATGCAGAGCTGAGGACAGGAAGAGGGGAGGGCTCAAAGTCAGGCTTCCTCATTGGGCTGGGAGTCGCAGGCAGGCAATTCCTGCTGTCTTAGGAAAATGATAGCTAGCATCTATTGAGTTCCCCTTCTGTGCTCCATCCTACACACTTGCAATCACCATGGCTAACAAGACTGTAACTCTTTGGCTGGTGCCGTGGCTCAATAGACTAATCCTCCGCCTGCTGCGCTGGCACCCCGGGTTCTAGTCCCGGTTGCTCCTCTTCCAGTTCAGCTCTCTGCTATGGTCCGGGAGTGCAGTGGAGGATGGCCCAAGTGCTTGTGCCCTGCACCCACATGGGAGACCAGGGGAAGCACCTGGCTCCTGGCTTCAGATCAGCGGCCATTGGGGGGTGAACCAACGCAAAAAGGAAGATCTTTCTGTCTCTCTCTCTCACTGTGCACTCTGCCTGTCAAAAATAAATAAATAGACTATAACTCTTAAACAGTGTATATTATCTTTACGTGCTGGCTTCTTTCTCCAGAGCCCTATATCTCATTCATATTGGAAAACACATGTTCTTGGCCGGCGCCGCGGCTCACTAGGCTAATCCTCCGCCTAGCGGCGCCGGCACACCGGGTTCTAGTCCCGGTCGGGGCGCCGGATTCTGTCCCGGTTGCCCCTCTTCCAGGCCAGCCCTCTGCTGTGGCCAGGGAGTGCAGTGGAGGATGGCCCGGGTGCTTGGGCCCTGCACCCCATGGGAGACCAGGAAAAGCACCTGGCTCCTGGCTCCTGCCATCGGATCAGCGCGGTGCGCCGGCCGCAGCGCGCCGGCCGCGGCGGCCATTGGAGGGTGAACCAGCGTCAAAGGAAGACCTTTCTCTCTGTCTCTCTCTCTCACTGTCCACTCTGCCTGTCAAAAAAAAAAAAAAAAGGAAAACACATGTTCTTGTGAATTAAGGTACCTCCATTTCTTCTGACAATAAATACCCTCTTAGAGGCAAATACCGGGCAAACTTCAGATCCAAGTAGGCTATGGAGACCCTTTCCCCCTCCCGGTTGCACAGGGAAGCCGGCGTGTCCTCACGGGTGGTGGCAGGCAGGGAGCAGAGAGGGGACCGGTCAGGGCACAGTCCTGCTGCCCCAGGAGACGGTGCCCACCCAGGTGGTGATGGGATGTGTTCCATCCTCCACAGGCATTTGTGAAGATGCAGAACTCGTGTCCTGAGGCTGGCCTCGTCAGGTTGCGGGCTCCTCTCAGCACATCTGTGTCGGGAGGGTCTGGCCGCCCCACGTGGCGTACAGGTGACCGTGTCGGGGCGTCTAACTCGGCCCATCAGTTTGGCTCTGGCCCCTGCCTCCTTCCCTGGCCTGCCATGCTGACAGCAGGGCCCTCCGGGGTGTGCAGTCTCGCCCGGCTTCTCTGGAGGAAGTGAGACTGGAGTCTCAGGATTCTCAGCTGGGCACCGACACGCATCTCACGCGCGGTTCCTGTGGGGCCTGAAATCTGAAGCTAAGTGGTTACCGCAAACATCCTCCTCCCCACACGACATCCTGTAGCCCATAAACATTTACCACGAATGCGAAGTTCGGGTATTTTTTGAGGTAAAGTATGTATCTTTTTAGCGTTCAAGAAAACCAACAAGTCTTGGCGCTCAGAGAAGCTGTGTGGCGGTGCTGTCCAGTGGCGAAGGTCCGCAGCCCGGACCTGCCCGCTCTGTTCCCCGCTGCCCCTGTGACTCGGGGACTCAGCCAACCCCTCTGCGCCTGGTTCCGCACTTGTAAAAAGGGACGACGATAGCGCCCCCTTAGATAGCTTAGAGCAGTGTCCGCACAAGCCCTGCGGGCCGGGCAGCGTCGCCTGCGCAGTGACCCGCAGTCCGCCGGCACCGCGGGGCCGCCCCACCGCTGCCCCCGAGGCCTCGCCCGGGAGGTTTTACCTGCGTCGCTGCCGCCACCTTCCTTTCCTCCCTCGGAGGACTTGAGGATCTTAGCCGCTGACAGGAGAACGGAGTCGACGTCGTCCCCTTCCTCAGGATGCCTTTCTGTAAGGGAAGCGCCCTGCGCTCTGGGTCCCGCCTGGCGGGGAGGCGCGGCTGGCGGCCGCTGGCCGCTGGAGGGCGCGCTCGGGCCACGCAGCGGAGGAGAGGCGGCCGCCGCGCCAGAGCGGCGCGCCCGCAGCGGCCGGCCGGGGTGCGCTCCAGGTGGACCCGGGAATCCCGGGCGTTTGGGGCTGACGGGCCTCGGGCCACGCACTTTTATTCTCCCTCCCCTTCCGACTTTCCGCGGCTCCCCCCTCGGAAACAGCCCCAGCCCGGCTCTCACCGGGGCTCATGTCTGCTGTTCAAGGCCTCTCTCCCAACTGCCTCCCCCACGCATCCGGCTCCGCCGCTTCGCGCCCGGGCAGCCCGTTGCCTGGTAACGGGGCCGCTGGGCGCCGCCCCCCGGCCGCGAGCGCAGCGGAGGCTGGCGCAGGTGAGGCGGGCGCGGGCGCAGGTGAGGGCGGGCGCAGGTGAGGAGGGCGCGGGCGCAGGTGAGGCGGGCGCGGGCGCAGGTGAGGGCGGGCACAGGTGAGGAGGGCGCGGGCGCAGGTGAGGGCCGGCACAGGTGAGGCGGGCGCGGGCGCAGGCGAGGGCCGGCACAGGTGAGGCGGGCGCCGGCGCAAGTGACGCGGACGCGGGCGCAGGTGAGGGCGGGCACAGGTGAGGAGGGCGCGGGCACAGGTGAGGCGGGCGCAGGTGAGGGCGGGCGCAGGTGAGGGCGGGCACAGGTGAGGAGGGCGCGGGCGCAGGTGAGGCAGGCGCAGGTGAGGCGGGCGCGGGCGCAGGTGAGGGCCGGCACAGGTGAGGAGGGCGCGGGCGCAGCTGAGGCGGGCGCGGGCTGCAGGTGCCCTGGCTCCTGGTCGTCCGCTGGGCCCGACGCTCTTCCCAGGGGCAGCCGAGTGCTGGCAGGGACCCCTCGCCCCCTTCTCTCGCGCCCACCCGGTTGCCTACCTTGGCCTTGGGGATTCTCCGTCGTCCCATTAGCACAACCGCTATGGGAGCGCAGCTGTGTTGGAGACGCGGCGGCGCTGGGCACGGGCACACTCTGAGGAGTGGCCGCCCCAAGGTTTGCTTTGGTTCAGTTTCCTTCCTCTTGTTTCATTCCAGGATTGGCCCGAGGCTGAAATGATGAAAAGACTTTTGTTTGCCCTAGTTAAAAGAAGTTTAATTAAAAGACAAAAGCCTCTACCACATTAGGTTAAAAAGTCACTATTTCTTAACAATTTAGTTTTCATACAAATGGATTTTTTCTAACAAATAATTTATGCTATTAATATATAATATTATTATAATATTCTATAATTTGTTATGTAATTGTAACTTATGATGGCATATCAATATTGGATAGTACGTAGAAATTACTTGTGGGTCTAAATTGAAGGTGTCAGTTACACCATTTAGCATAAAATATAAAAATCAGATGGTGAGTACTATAATATCAAACTCAAATTTAGCCAGTGTCCTAGTCTCTAAAGAGTTTCATTGTAAGTGCCTCCCAATCAGCTCACCAGTCAGAAAAGCAGGCCTTGTGCTAGAAGAAGTTTTATGCTAGATATTAGATCAATAAGACCTTTTGGTTATCAAGATCATTTTCCTTTTGTAAACTTAATTACACATATTCCTAGTTAGGAAAGAAAAAAAAGCAATTGACTTGTCAGAAAGTTACTGTAATTAATATATAAAACCCTATCTATGAAGTTAATAAAACTATAATAAATTAAGAAAGCTGATTTAAAAATGAAGAGTTCTACAATATAAATGACATCCCCTTTAGAAAGGCCTTAGGGCATAATTGCATGGGTGACCCTGTTATTTAAGGAGAGAATCTGGAAATAGTAGCAAGAGAATGAACATGTTGCTTACACAGTGCAGTGGAGGGTGGACCCAGCTCTACTGGGCACTCACTGCAGGTATGAAATGTGTGTGCAGAGGGAAAAGCCTTGTTTGGTTATGCCTACTCACTTAAAACCATCGTCCCCCATCCCAACCTACACTTGGAAACTACCTCCGTTCTGAACCTTCTGGTTGAGGTTGAGGATGACCTGAGACCTGACCTCTCAGAGCAGGATGTACTTACCTGCACAACACTGGACCAGTTGTGGTAAGGCTGAGGAAAACTCCAGGCAGAGGGCGCTGCTCCGATGGGTGCCGTAGTTACATAGAAGGCGAATGGTGAAGGGCAGCTCTCCACACCAGAGTTTAGGGTGAGCTTCCAAACACTGTTGACATTTTTCCTCCAATCGGAAAAGATTTAACTATTCTAGGTCAGATATGATTTGGAAAGGTATATTTTGAAGAGCTTTCAGGAGACTGTTATTTGTATTATGTATCAGCTTTGTTGAAGTTGCTAAACTTCTAAAAACCTGAACAATTTTACAGGTTTCTCATAAATGCATGTTTAGGTGGCCTATAAAATTTAAAGTCCTTCCAGAATCTTGTTTGTTAAGTCTTTTTTTGAGAAATTTAAAAATAATGAAACATACAATGATGTAACTAACTTCTGGCTTCCATCTCACAGAATTAACAGTGATCACTCTATTGCCATATTTGGTTTTTTATTCAGAAAAATAAAACATGTAGAGTTGGACGCTCTCCACTATCTCTTATCCTATTCCTAATTCCTCATGTTCTTCCCGTAAGAAAACATCACCACAAATTTGGGATGCTGTCTTCCAGTTGTTTTTTTTTTTTTTTTAATGTGCACAGGATTAACATAGGTCATTGTTCTCTGTTTTAAAACTTTTTATAAGTTATAGCATAGTTTATAGTTTATTCCACAGCTTTCTCTTTTTACTCACCACTTGTATTTAGATCTTTACTTCAGTATTAAAATGGGCTTGAGCTAGCTCTCAGTTCTTCACCAACTTACAGTAAAGTTCAAGGATGCTATGATCTCTGTTTTTTTTTTTTTTTAAGATTTATTTATTTATTCGAAAGGCAGAATTACAGATAGACAGAGGCATCTGCTGGTTCATTCCCCAGATGGCTGCAATGGCCGGAGCTGTGCCAATCTGAAGCCAGGAGCCAGGAGCTACTTTGGGGTCTCCTACACAGGTGCAGGGGCCCAAGGACTTGGGGCATCGTCTACTGCTTTCCCAGGCCATTTGCAGGGACCTGGATGGGAAGTGGAGCAACCAAGACTCGAACCTGTGCCCATATGGGATCTTGACACTGAAGGTGGAAGCTTTACCTGCTACTCCACAGCGCCAGCACCCTGCTCCCCCGAGTTCTTTTTCTCCTCAGTTGTTAAAGGTTGAGTTGTTTGTATGACGTCCCCTCTGTCTTTACAAGAAGCATAAGAACATAAGCATCAATAAAGCCACCAAACTTCAGAAATTGACACTGATGCATTACTACCTTCTAGTCCTTTGATCCCATTCAGATTTCACTTGTTCTACCTGTGTTGTCCTTTATAGAAAGTGGAGCCAATCCAAGATTTTGCATAGCATTTCGTTGTCATAACATGTCTCTAATAGGTTTCAGTCAGAGCAGTTTGTTTACCAGTCTTCCTTGGACTTCTGTTATTTTGACACTGTTAAAGATTCTAGGCCAGCTATTTTAGAAATGCTCCTTCTTGTGGCTTTGTGGATGTTTTGTAGTGATTAAATTCAGATAGTACATATTTGTTCAAAAAGTGACATTTGGTCCTTCTCATTGTTTCCTATCAGGTGGCACATGATTTTCTTTTTAAATTTTATTTAAGTTATACAAGTTTCATGAATTTCATATATGCATATTTAGGAACATAGTGATACTGCCCAGCCCACGCTCCCTCCTGCCCATGCTCCAGCACTTCTTCCTCCTCCCTTTCCCATTCCCACTCTTAATTTTTACAAAGACTTACTTTCAGTTTACTTAATGGTTGTAAAGTTAACCCTATAATAAGTAAAAGATTTCAACAAATAGTATAAAGGAAAAAACATTGTTCCAAAACAGAAGAGACAAGGACTGTGAACAATCATCAAATCTCAAAATGTCCATTTCATTCCAATATATTACATTTTAGGTACTCTATTATTTACCTCAGATCAGGGAAAACATATGTATCTGTCTTTTTGGGACTGGATTATTATTATTATTATTATTTTTGACAGGCAGAGTTAGACAGTGAGAGAGAGAGACAGAGAGAAAGGTCTTCCTTCCATTGGTTCACCCACCAAATGGCTGCTACGGCCAGCACACTGCGCTGGTCTGAAGCCAGGAGCCAGGCCCTTTCCTCTTGGTCTCCCATGCGGGTGCAGGGCCCAAGCACTTGGGCCATCCTCCACTGCCTTCCCGGGCCACAGCAGAGAGCTGGACTGGAAGAGGAGCAACCGGGACAGAACCAGCGCCCCAACCAGGACTAGAACCCGGGTGCCGGCGCCGCAGGCGGAGGATTAGCCAAGTGAGTTGTGGTGGCAGCCCTGGGACTGGATTATTACACTAAGTATAATGGTTTCCAGTTGCATCCAGTTTTGTTACAAAAACATAATTTCTTTTTTGTTTTATAGCTGAGTAGTACTCCATTTTGTGTGTGTGTGTGTGTGTGTGTGTGTGTGTGTGTATGTATCATAATTTCTTTATCCAGTCAGTAGTTGATGGACATCTGGGTTAATTCCATATCGTAGCTATTGTGAAATTGTGTTGCAGTGTACATGGCGGTATAGACAACTCTTTCAGGTGCTGATTTCTTTTCATTTGGGTAACATCTCAAGAGCAGGATGGCTGGATCATGTGGTAGGTCTATCTATATTCTGGTTTCTGAGGTATCTCCATACTGTCTTCCACAGTGTACTAGTTCACATTAGATTTCTGTTCCATTCTGTTGGTCTATACTTCTGTTTCTGTGCCAGTGCCAGGCTGTTTGAAATCTAATATTGTGATGCCTCTGGCTTTGTTTTGTTGTATAAGTTTGTTCTAGCTATTTGGGGTCTCTTGTATTTCCATATGAATTTTAGCATTCTTCTGAGAAGAATGTCATTGGTATTTTGATTGGGATCAAATTGAATCTGTAAATTGGTTTCAGTAGCATGGACATTTTGTTAATATTGATTCTTTTAAATCATGAACATGGAAGATTTTTCTATTTTTTAATGTCTTCACCTATTTCTTTCTTTAATGTTTTGTAATTCTCATTGTAGAGATCTTTGACATCCTTAGTTAAATTTATTCCAAGATATTTAATTTTTTTTGTAGCTATTGTGAATGGGATTGGTCTTATAAGCTCTTTCTGTCACGACATTGTTTGTGTATACAGAAGCTATTGATTTTTGTGTGTTGATTTTATATCCTGCCACTTTACCAAACTCTTTAATGAGTTCCAATAGTCTCTCAGTGGAGTCTTTTATACCCATGTATCTATATAGGATCATATCATGTGCAGATAGGGATAGTTTAACTTCCTCCTTCCCAATTTGTATCTCTTTGATTTCTTTTTCTTGCCTAACGGCTCTGGCTAAAACTTC